CGACGTGACGTCGAGAGTGACCGACTGAAAGGGAACTAACATTTTGATTTTGTTACAATTTGATTTCTATATTGACAGATGGAGATTGATAAGATGGATTCTTAAAAAAATTATGTCCTTGCTTAATGACATTGTGCGCATATATTTGCAGAGAAAGGTAAGACGTTCGCTGAACATTCCCTGATTACAAAAGAAACCAATGCCAAGTATCCATCCTATGTCAATACAATTTGTTGTTTCAGATCTGCTCCTTGTTGAAAACGCCCCTTGATGATTTAAACACACAGCTGGCAACATTAAATGGTGCTATGATTAAACACTGTTAACCAGTGACTGCAATGAGTATGAAAATTCTTCCATGACAGCATTCATGACATCCAAAATCATATGTTTTTTGTTGTTGTGACCCTTAAGTTACAGCCAAAGTAAGTAAATATGTTGAGATTGACTACTCGCTGAGGTCTGTTGTCATCTCTGATACCAGCATTGGGATGGGATTAAAGGTACAATTGAAAATTATTTAATTAAATCTAAAGCATCATGCAGAAATTGACACATAACTGTAACATACATTACAAATTCCTTGCCAAAATATATTTTTTTACAGCTGAATTTGGATGTTTGTCACAATTTTAGGGTGTATTCTACAACACTCAACAGCGCACAGAACCCCACTTCTCTCCCCCAGCTTTCTCGTTGGCTTCCCAGAACACCAAAATGTTCTACATTGCAGTATCTGCCTTCACCATCAACTCCGCATTCTTGGTGTTCCACAACACTAAAGTGTTTAACATCAGAATCACCGATGACATGGTGAGTTTAAGATATTACAAACTGTCAGTTTTTAAGAAGTGCAAGTATAGTCACTTTGTGCGACCGCATGTGTATGTGTGTGTGTGTGTGTGTGTGTGTGTGTGTGTGCATGTGTGTGTGTACATGTGTGGTTGGTATCCTTTAATTTGATCCTGAACTGGAGTCGTATCAGTATTGACTGAAATCATGGAAAAACAGCTTGTGTTAGGCAGCTGCTCCACAACCGGATTCAAACTGGATTAATGCTCAGTTGACATGATGCCATTTTGAACAGATCTAGATATTTGGAAATGATCCAGATATTGTTTCTCTTCCTTCCTGGTGCTTTTCTTTACACCATCATTAGAGATCCTGTGACCTTTCTCAAAAACTTGGTATCTGAACTCGGAATCTGTGAGAGAGCAACAGAACATTTAGTGGGGAGGGTGAGGGGTACAGTTTGGCAGTTTATTAAACAAAACAAAAACAAAAAAGTTACAGGTTCCAACTTACCTGAAACCTGCGTTTACATGTAGAGCAAATCTGATTCATAGTAATTAACCTAGAAAACACATGAATAAATAGATTGGATAGAAACAGATGACTGTCAAACATTTACATTTTTATAGCATTATACCATTTTTGTATATCCTGAAATATTGTTTCAAGATGTTTTAGTTCAAAAAACAAGTTTGGTGTTTAAGCCTGTTTTAAAATCTATCACAATAACAGAAATTTACCATGGTAAATACAGTTCACACTAAAACACCACAATTACTATGGATATTGTTACTTTGTGAGTCTCAATAAACCTGTCAAGAACCTGTCTTTTCATTTCAAAATCGTAAGAATGATTTACCGTAATGCAAAAAATACTTAATGTAATGGGAAAATGTAATTAAGTAATAGAAAAAAGTACAAAAAAGTATATATATATATATATATATATATATATATACACATACATACGTGTATATATATTCGTTTTTTATTCACTTTGGTACTATTTTCACAAGTAAGGTGTATATTTTCAAAACTCTTAGTACTAATATCACAACAGATCATCAAAATTGCACTTTTTTCAAATATTTCAGCATATTTTCACTTGTCTTAATACAATACACACAACCACAAAGTATCCTTTTCACTACACAAAAGAAGTTTTTAATTTATATAAATGTTTCATTCACAGTAACAGCCTTTCATAAAGCTCTGTTAATGTGAGCTTGTGAAAATAGTACCAAAGTGACTGAAAAAACTGTAATTTATTAATTAGTTTCACTAGGATTGTAGTCACAATTTCTTTAACTATGATAATTTGACAGTAAATTTGTAAAAATGCAGACTTTACTTATGAGTATAATTGATTTAATCTGGTCTCATGACTACTGTTTCTAAGTGTCTGAGTGGGAGTTGAGCATCAGCCATTGTGTGTGTGTGTGTGTGTGTGTGTGTGTGTGTGTTTACATGCTGTCTGTTTTCATCACTGCTGTCTGCTGTCTGTGGGCTCTGTGTGTCTCTGTCTGTCCTCAGGGGAGGAGAGTTACCAGACGAATCGTCCGCACTGCTCACAGAACCATGGAGCGGAGAGAACACCACACCGTCTCCTGAGATTCACACACACACACACACACACACACACACACGCTAAATGACATATATCTGAAGATCAAGGACAGAAATGCTGCCAAGGCCCTGAGGCTCCAGCCCCTTTAGAGGCGCCACTTGGTCAAAATGTGAGACATAATGTCCAAATAATGACAAACAACATCACAAATATGAGACCCCATTGCCCTGGTTCATAATCCACTTTTACAAGGTGCATCTGATGAGTGTCTTACCTGACAGCGCTTGGCTTTGAGGGTCCATCCGCTCCAGACTGTCCAGCAGCTCGTCTATCTGTGATTTAATCACCGTCAGTTCTTTCTTAATGCACATCAGCTCCTCCATTCTTACTGCAGAGAGAAGGAGGTTAGCGAGCATTAATGTTATGTTCAGCGACACTAGCGACTAACTAATGCCACTGGTTGAGACAGTATTGCCAAACATATTGCATTTCTATTTGCCACCACTAGTGGAGCAAACTGCAGCTTTAAATAAAGACGTAAAGACATATGAGATGTAGCCTAGCAGTTAGCACACAATAGCTTAAAGTGGATTATGTGATAAAGTGTGTCATTTCTGTGCAAGTAGCAGCACCAAACGGACTGCAAAAATTACTATTTCCAAACATGTTTCCCAACTGGTCTTTTCTGCCCCACCCCTTAATTTGCCATTGGTTGGACAAACATGTAGCCCCTCCCCAAACTCATATCATTGGTTGAGCCACAATTTGAGCGCTTTTGCCATTTTAAGCATAGAAAAACAATAAACTTCAGCTTTAAAAAGTAAAAAAAAAGAACCAAAAAGTTCAATTGTAGTACTTTCAAGAGACAAATGAGGATGCCCAGATATAAGCAACTCTTCTAATCTAATGTCTCTAATGATGGAAACTTAGATTGGACCTCTTTTCCGCAGCATGATAATACCACTCAAACACCCCTCCAATCCCAGCTGGATAAAAAAAAACCATTCCAGCTCAGCACCAGCCATTAAAAAGCGGTTTGACCTCCCAACTACAAAGGCAAACTCATTCTACTGTGATCTGCTGGCAGTAAAAACTATTAGGGCTTGTAATAAAGCACTATAAACTCTTCTTATTGGTTATGCACTATTAATTTGCTATAATTGCTTTTGGTGAAAGGCTAGGTTTGATTACTGAGGGAGTCGTTCTATAGCGGAGGGAGGATTTTAATGAAGAAACCATCTGGAGTTCGACAGCAGAGGCGCATGCATGCACGTAGACATGCACGCTCACAAAAAAAAAACAATTATAAGAGCAACATTCACCAAAGCACAATCCAAGGGTACAAAATTTTGTACAAGAGATGCTGATATTCATTATAAGATGCAAATGCAAACATGAAATTTGCCAAAGAATTGCAATGCTGTGCCTTTCTGCACAGCATTCTCACTGTGATAAACTCCAGTACTCAAGGGGACGATAGAGTTACCTTAAAATTGCTCAGGCAGCTTGCTATAAACGTACTGACAGTTTAATTTTAATTCCAGTAGGAATTCTGCATAATCTTGAGTTTCATGTGAGGGTGAAAAAATTCCCCGTTGCACTCATTTTCAAGTTGACCAACAGAAAGGTGGGTTTGAAAGCATTAATTGCTACATTATTTATAGTAGACAATGGACCTATTGTGCCTGCAAATTTTTGGAGAAGGGTATAACGGCAGCCTGGAGATCACTAAATGGGGGCGGGAACTCCAAAACTGGGTGGGAGCTCCAAAATAGGGCGTGGCTTCCTCCCATTGGCAGACAGGCACATGACACGCATGCGCACTTTTTCCTCCAATCCACTTCAGTGCAAACTCCGCCCCACAGCTGATTCTAAAGATTTTATTGGTTGTGTCAATTAAAGTGTTGATTTCCTACACTATGCTACAAACAATGCTAACCCCTAAACCTACCCCACACCTGACCCTAACCTTAACCAGTGAAATTGACTGCACGGTGGGATTGGCGCTGAATAGCGTGGTAAAGAAAGATGCAGTTCAGGAGATAAACAGTTAATAAAATTATGCGATATGAGACTGTTCCGTAACTCCCCAACCGGACCTCACCGGACAATGGCACCTTTTTAGTTACACCCAGCGTCATTACCCACTCCTTCCCTGCGAATTTCGAGCCCCGGGTCGCCCCCGCTGCTTAGAACAAAGCGATAGAGTAAAATCTTTCTCCTGCGCTGCGCTGGGACGGCTCGCGGGAGAGCTCATGGGTGATTCCTGTTTATATCATTAAGCAGATGTTCAAACTCCAGTCCGAACACCACTGGCCGTGAGCTTTGGGCTCTGCTCTCACAGAGAATATTTACTTATATAGCATATTTTATTTTAGATGAACTAGAAACAATGTTTAATTTATAAAGTTTTATTTTGAAATGTAAGTCAATAACAATTGGCTGGAGCCAGAGCCAATGGTGAAAGTCTTTGCGCGAGGAGACCACGCCCCATTTTGGAGATCTCTGGTCTGCAGTTATACCTACTTGAATTTTTGCTGAAATTTCAGTTTCTACACCAGGTGTGACTGTTGCATTGCATTGAGCTAAAACAGCTTGAGGCTACATTTTACAATGTGTAATTCATAAAACAAACTGTAACAAATTAAAAGTAATTGTTTCCAAACAGATTTCCCAACTGGTCTTTGTGTCCCGCCTCCCATCTGTCATTGGTTGGACAAAAATGTGTCTACACTGGGCTTGACTGTTGTTGTGTTGCGTTACACAGCGCTAAAACAGCTTGAGAATGTCTCGACAAAGGGGCTTGACCACTGTCACGTATCACGCCATTGCAACAGCTTGAGGCTGTCTACATTTTAAAGTGTATTGTTTGTAAAACAAACTGTCAAACAAAAAAATTACAGTTGTTTCCAGACAGGTTTCCCAACTGGACTGGACAATATGTTCTACCAATGTTTTGCTAACATTCTCTGTGGTTATGAAAACATTATTTCTGAATGTTCTTTGAACATTCAAAAAGTAAATTTTGACATTGGTTATGCATACATTTCATTTTATAATTTTGCAAATATTATGGGTACGTTACTCTGAACATTCTGAAAGAACGTAAAATAATAAAAAAAACATATTTGAAAAATGTCCAACTAAAATGTTTCAGACGTTGCATGAACAATGTAAAAATAATGTTTTTCTGTTTTAAGAACATTGCTAAAGACCAGATAATGAACACTGAATGAATGTTACTGGAAGAACGTTTGTTCATTACTTTGAGAGAACTTTGCCAGAACATTAGTCAAAGTTATGAGAATGGGGTATTAGTGATTATTATAGGTTTTCATTGATTTTGCCATGTCACATCACAACAACTGCACCCAGTGTAGACACGGTGGATTTCCTATAAAAACAGGAAATTGGAATCGTGCATAACTGTTATGCAGCCCAGCAAAACCATGATTTGCTATTTGTTATCAATTGTCAAATTCAAATTTTTGGACATTCCCCTTAAAGGGGCGATTTCACTTTTTTAATGTTAGTTAGTGTGTAATGTTGCTGTTTGAGCATAAACAATATCTGCAAAAGTTACGAAACTGAAAGTTCAATGCAAACGAAGATATCATCTTTTAAAATTCTAGACGCGCACTAGAGGCGGTTGAGCCAATCACAACACACTGGGGTTGCTAACCAATCAGAGCCCATCGCCTATTTCTGAGGGCGGGGCTTCATAAAAGAAGGAAATTATCAGCGTGTTTCTCAGAGAAGAGACAGAGTGGTGTGGAATAAAGGTAAATTATGTGAAAAATAATGTGTTTTTTCTGCACGGCGGGATTGGCGCTGAATAGCGTTGTAAAGAAAGATGCAGTTCAGGAGATAAACAGTTAATAAAATTATGCGATATGAGATCGTTCCGTAACTCCCCAACCGGACCTCACCGGACAATGGCACCTTTTTAGTTACACCCAGCGTCATTACCCACTCCTTCCCTGCGAATTTCGAGCCCCGGGTCGCCCCCGCTGCTTAGAACAAAGCGATAGAGTAAAATCTTTCTCCTGCGCTGCGCTGGGACGGCTCGCGGGAGAGCTCATGGGTGATTCCTGTTTATATCATTAAGCAGATGTTCAAACTCCAGTCCGAACACCACTGGCCGTGAGCTTTGGGCTCTGCTCTCACAGAGAATATTTACTTATATAGCATATTTTATTTTAGATGAACTAGAAACAATGTTTAATTTATAAAGTTTTATTTTGAAATGTAAGTCAATAACAATTGGCTGGAGCCAGAGCCAATGGTGAAAGTCTTTGCGCGAGGAGACCACGCCCCATTTTGGAGATCTCTGGTCTGCAGTTATACCTACTTGAATTTTTGCTGAAATTTCAGTTTCTACACCAGGTGTGACTGTTGCATTGCATTGAGCTAAAACAGCTTGAGGCTACATTTTACAATGTGTAATTCATAAAACAAACTGTAACAAATTAAAAGTAATTGTTTCCAAACAGATTTCCCAACTGGTCTTTGTGTCCCGCCTCCCATCTGTCATTGGTTGGACAAAAATGTGTCTACACTGGGCTTGACTGTTGTTGTGTTGCGTTACACAGCGCTAAAACAGCTTGAGAATGTCTCGACAAAGGGGCTTGACCACTGTCACGTATCACGCCATTGCAACAGCTTGAGGCTGTCTACATTTTAAAGTGTATTGTTTGTAAAACAAACTGTCAAACAAAAAAATTACAGTTGTTTCCAGACAGGTTTCCCAACTGGACTGGACAATATGTTCTACCAATGTTTTGCTAACATTCTCTGTGGTTATGAAAACATTATTTCTGAATGTTCTTTGAACATTCAAAAAGTAAATTTTGACATTGGTTATGCATACATTTCATTTTATAATTTTGCAAATATTATGGGTACGTTACTCTGAACATTCTGAAAGAACGTAAAATAATAAAAAAAACATATTTGAAAAATGTCCAACTAAAATGTTTCAGACGTTGCATGAACAATGTAAAAATAATGTTTTTCTGTTTTAAGAACATTGCTAAAGACCAGATAATGAACACTGAATGAATGTTACTGGAAGAACGTTTGTTCATTACTTTGAGAGAACTTTGCCAGAACATTAGTCAAAGTTATGAGAATGGGGTATTAGTGATTATTATAGGTTTTCATTGATTTTGCCATGTCACATCACAACAACTGCACCCAGTGTAGACACGGTGGATTTCCTATAAAAACAGGAAATTGGAATCGTGCATAACTGTTATGCAGCCCAGCAAAACCATGATTTGCTATTTGTTATCAATTGCCAAATTCAAATTTTTGGACATTCCCCTTAAAGGGGCGATTTCACTTTTTTAATGTTAGTTAGTGTGTAATGTTGCTGTTTGAGCATAAACAATATCTGCAAAAGTTACGAAACTGAAAGTTCAATGCAAACGAAGATATCATCTTTTAAAATTCTAGACGCGCACTAGAGGCGGTTGAGCCAATCACAACACACTGGGGTTGCTAACCAATCAGAGCCCATCGCCTATTTCTGAGGGCGGGGCTTCATAAAAGAAGGAAATGATCAGCGTGTTTCTCAGAGAAGAGACAGAGTGGTGTGGAATAAAGGTAAATTATGTGAAAAATAATGTGTTTTTTAAAAAACAAAGCATTAACACATGTTAGACTGCACCCCATAAACACAATCAAGCCTAGAAAAAAAAAACAGTCAACCACCCCTTTAATGCAAGATTGTCATTACCATATTCAGTCCGTTTTTCATAGAAAAATTTTACATTTTAATTGTATATATGCTAAAATGTACAAAACTTAAATCTTGATTTCATGAGGTCTTTATACATCTTGAGCTTTGGAAGTGCATCTTACGCTGGGTTCCTCTGCTCCTGGACTTGTGTCTGCTCTGAGGTTTTTCTGTGCTTTGCCGCAGGGCTGCGGAAGAAAAAGAGGGAGAGGAACACGTCCGTCGAAAAGATGCGAAGTCACACGGGATGGTCGTCACAGACATCGGAACATGTTGATAATCGAAAACCCTGAAAATGAAAACCAGATGAGTAAACTGAAAGAAATAGTAAGTTCTCTAGGAAGATTTTCTTTCATGATGCTCTGAATTCTGATTCACAATGCATGGTTATTATTGGCAGGCCCTGGCCTACTTCCTGTTCCGCAACTGAAGAACATCACAGCAATTATGCATGCCAGCCGCAGCCTCTGCATGATACATACATTAGGGGCATGGCACTTTACTGATCACTCTACGTCTCCAGCTTTATCCGCTCTGTCACATCCTCGGCATGCTGCGAACGTCTCCGGCAAAACTTGGCAACAAAAAGCTTTTTCAAAAATTGCTAAGCTTTTATTTAAAGATTAGCAGGGTCTATGAAATAGGAGACTTTTCCCATCATGCCCTGAGGCCTAGCGGTTTGTGACTGGAGAGAGATATCAGGAGATGAGAGATTGGGAGAAATCTGCTGCTGGTGTCAAGAGCGTGATGGAACATGCATTTAGGAAAACGAGCTAGCATAGAGTGAAAGAGACGGGACCAGACAAAAGTAAAGGCATAAGCAGGCCCACACTGAATCTACAGCAAAAGAAATTGCTGCAGATTTCAGCAGAATTGAAAGGTCCCTTGTCTGTCCGGTTATTAAATATTACGGTTTTTCAATTAAATTGCTCAAATTAAAAAAAAATTCTAACTAGTTACTCCGCTAGGAGTAAGAGTGTAATGGTTATCATATTTGACCATTTTATATTTGGGATCTTGGTTGCACATAGTTAAAAAAATTTTTTTTTTTTTTTACTATTCAAAAGTTTTATTTCAGATAGTTGCCAAAGCAACATTTCTCATACAGTATGCATATATATATATATATATATATATATATATACACAGGGTACGGGAAGTATACACACACCTTTATATATTTCTCTCTTTTTTTTACATCTGAATCAAACGCTTCACTGTATGCGCTTCTATTAATGGTCATTCATGTACATCAGGACAGATATCAGCTTTCATTTTAACGTGAAGACTGATTTGCTGGCTGTTCAATAAATTGTAGAACAGCAGGGGCCATAAAGACATCATCCAGCAATTATATCTCTCATCATGAGGTTTAGCTTTATAAAACAATATTGAATTGGCACAAACACTCTGATCTATCATTGTAGCTTGCAGAAATTGTTTGCTGTATCATTAGCGCATCTGTTTGTTGTTAACTAAATTCGCTGTGTAAATCACAGCAGGACAGAAAGTGTTAAACGGCGCACTGGGACAAACTCACTGAACAGACCGAATTGAACAGTGTAAGTTTGTATTGATCTGTTTTGTCAATAAACCCTTGTTACTCACACTGCAATTGGGTCCTCCTTCCAGATCCCTGACATTTTTTGCATTTTAAGTGTTATTAATGAACAAATATTAATTAACAATGAACTGTTCATGTCAGCTGAAGTCCATTAAATAAAATTAAAAGAGACAACATTTGAATGACTGTCAGTAGGTTATTTGGCTGACTGATATTTTGGTTGGTAAAGTAGTTTGGTTGTTGTGTGGATTGCACCTTTACATGTTTTTATAGCTACAATAACCATATTCACATACGAACAATATACAGCATTCCTGTTCTGTTTCTCCAGCAGAAAGTGCTTATGAATTTCATTTCTCTATTGATTGATTTGGTCTCCATATACTTATACCATTAACTGAAAAATAAAGTCCATATAAGAGCTTAAAATATGCAAACAGAATGGTATATCACTAGTCCATGAATGAATACTGTTGTTGTTTTGTGTTGAGTGATCACCTGTGTGCTTTTGCTTTGCTCTCAGGTTGAAAGTGCTTTTCAAACCCTATATTGATCCTGTTCCACGGTTTTCCCTGGATTCAACACAGTCCAGAGAGATTCTCTGATTCACAGATAGGGAGCTGTAAATTACTTTGCCTCAGAGGAATACGGTGATTGAGGGAGATATACATTTGACTGCAATGGGATCAGACTGGGTCAGATTGCCACTCTAAGCTGCAGGATAAAAGAGTCTAATGACAGTGATATCCAGCTCTTAAAATAACCTGCTCACAGCTGCAGATCTCAGCCTCAAATACTTCTCAGTCCCAACGTGTCTGAACCTCGTTAATAGTGATATCCCTTTTACTCTTGCTCATATTTAGGGTGAGTGATTTGAACCAAACCTTAAAGTATTCAACTTCGTTGTGGGCTCTTAAAACTTGAGCCACACATAATACTTAACTGCATAGCAGTGCCCTAGCAACCAACTACAACACTCAACACATCTTAGTAACTACTTAGCATCAACATGACAACCACCCAAAAATTGCAGCAGAAGCTTTCGCACCACTCACATTTTATGAATATGTAGAAATTGAGTTAAAAATTATTGCCATCATAAACTATTTCATAAAACTATTGCATTATTTATTTATTTATTTATTCAATGCTGTATGGTACGGAAGCTTATGTCCTCCATGTAATAAAATATAAAAGAGGTAATTGCAACATTTTGTCTCACAATTCTGATGTTTTTTTTTAAATCCAGAATTCTGCATACGTATGTGGTCAAACTACGTGTCCAAAGAATTCAGAAAAAACAAAAAACAAGAAAACAAAACAGAAGTGCATAACGTAAACTCAGAATTCTGAAAAAATCAGAAATGTGAATGTTAATTCAAAATAGCAAGATACAAACTCCCAAGTCTGAGACAAAACTTAAAAAAATGCGAGATGGAAACTCACAATTGTGAGATATAAACTTGCAATTCTAAAATGTGTGAATTCTGGAAATATATATTTAGTTTTAAGAAAAAAAGCAGATTTGTGAGATAAAGCGTTAATTACCTTTTTGATATTTTTATTCTGAGGCGTAAATAAGCTTTCATGGTACTGCAAGATAGAATTTAACCAAAGACAGATTTTTATTTATTTATTTATATTTATTCATATTTACATATTTGAATTTTTTTAACTAATGTCAAAATATTATATTTTTTATATATATATTTTTTAAATGTTAATGTTAAAAATAACAAACAAACAGTTTTACGCTAAACATTGTCATACATATTTTACACTCACTGCTACATGACAGATTTCAGTTTTATTTTTAATTACATTTTACTTCAACTTTAAGTCAATACTAAAAGACAGATGCTTTAACAATATAATATAAATAACATAAGATATGAAAATATTTCAACTGCAGTATTCTCTATTGTGTTTGCATCCATATTCATTCAGCTGCATCCATGTCCACTCACTGACAAATGTGAATTATATTTTTAAAGAGTATGTTTTCAGTGAGCAGTTCTGCAGAGCAAAAGACACGGTACACATTTTAAAATGAGCACCGAGAAAAAGCGTTCTATTGTTTATTAAAAGTAATCCCCCGTGAATCATTTTATTGCTCTCTTATAAGCTTCCAAAGTGAAGAAAATGGCTTTGTTAGCCAGAGGCAACAGTGCACAGCAGAGGGTTAAATTTAGACTTTTGTTATGGCAGACACACACACATCTCTGAGCAAAAAAAACGGCCTCTAGAGAAACCCCCGTGTGCCACACTAATGCATGCAGCCAAACGTATTTTCAGAGGTTTTCTCTCTACGAAGGGATGCTTGGCCCTGCGGGAGGGCGTTTAAAATGCAGATAGAATCCAGAGGTTGTGTTGAATCTCGGCACACACTAATGCAGTAACAACAGCATCTGACCGCAGGCCATAACCAATGAGACGTCAGACCTTCTGATGAGATTGAAATAGAGAACAAAGTTCCTGATATGTGAAAACACTTAACAAGAGGCAAATAAGCAGCTGCGTGAGTCAAACAGAGCCCAGAGCCAAGAGAGAAGACGCCAGTCAAAGCCGCACTATAACATTATGCAAATAAGTGGAGTAAATTCCTGTTGCGCGCGCGCGTGTGTGTGAGAAAGTGTGTGTGTTTAAGTGCTGGTAGGATGCTTAGGAAGGTAAATGAGATTAAATGAACTATGAAACTGCATTATAGACCTTGTACATTTTAGAGTGCATTGTGGGTAGATAAAGGACATTCAGTTCGGTCTGTAATACAGTATATAAACAGTGTTTATCATAGATGTTTATATGCGTGAATGTCGTGACTGGTTGCCAGGGTGTTGCTATGCAGTTGCTATGTTCTGGCCCAAGTCTCAATGGCCGCATTTACATTACATGTTTCAAGTGACCAATTTCTGATTTTTTCCTCCCACAAATCGGATATTACCCACGAACATGTAAGCAGGAAAAAAGCACATGGATTCTGATAGTCTCAAACCAGGCGTCATTTATATGGAAATAAGTCTGATATGAATCTGTCATTTGCGTCTGCCATGTAAGTGGACTGCTGTTGTCAGGTTGCCAGGTTTTCACAATAAAACCCGCCCAATTGCTCCTCAAAACTAGCCCAAAACTAGCCCAATCACGTTTTAGGGGGATTCCCCTGGTAAAATTTGCATTCCATGGAATAAATATCACATTATTGGGGTCGCTATAATCCAAGGACATGAAAAACAACTCGCGGCATCAGTGTTAAAGTAGCCCAATTCCGTGGCAAAACCGCGGACCTGGACACTGGTGGACAGGTCGGATACTCCCCTGTCATTGGCAATGTTGCCAAGTCTGTGGTTTTCCCACTAATTGGGCTAATTTTACACTGTTGCCAAAGGTTGTTTTTTCGTTCTCTGGTTAAAGCAATCACCTGCTCTCCCCAAAATGTGATTTCGATGAAGTGGAACCCCTGATGGAGAGGAAAACTACAGGGAAAAAAAACCCCGCAACTGGGATAGTTTTAATTAACAATTGGGCTGGTTTTGTTTCTCAGATCTGGCAACCCTGTTTCCAGGTCAGTATGTCTACCTTGGGTTATATTGAGTATATTGTGAATGCAGATATTGAATATGGTTCATCTTTAAAAGAAGATGTAAACTGGTCATAAAAAAAAAATTGGATGTAGTCAACAAATCGGAATTGGGCATCAAGAGCTGCAGTATAAATGAAGCCTATTACATATTGGTCTTTGCATGCCAATGCAAGTTTAGGACATTTAAACTGTTTTATCGCAGTTAATAACACATATTTGAAATTCTTAGAAATGTTTCAAATGTTTTTTTTGAAAACACAATTATACAATTTTCAACAAAAGTCTAACTATAATGAATCTAAAAAAGTCATGATGCAACCATCAATTAAAACTGGGATAGGTATATATTTTTATGATTTTGAAAGAAGTATTTTCTGCTCACCAAGGCTGCATTTATTTGAATTAAAATACACTAAAAACAGTAATATTGTGAAATATTATTACAATTTAAAATGACTGTTTTCTGTTTGAATATATAGTAAAATGTAATTTATTGCTGTGATCAAAGCTGAATTGTCAGCATCATTACTCCAGTCTTCAGGGTCACATGATCCTTAAGAAATCATTCTAATATGCTGATATGCTCAACACATTTTTTATGGATGTGTATTTTTTAACATTTATTCTAGTTTTTCCATGCCTTGCATCACTGACTTTCATTGACTCCACTGAATTACTAAAGCGCATAACTGGAATTTTATGTTTCTACACAATGAGTGACGAGTTGAAATAATTTCTTTAGTAATCAACAGCATGTCAGAGATGCTGTCAGTAGACCTTAGTCAGGGTAGCGCTATATTGAAGTTTTGACAGAAATGAAAACGAGGCTGTGAGGGATAGAAATACAGTGCATTCAATGGATTGCATTGCTGTTTAACAATATACCGACAGATCAGAATTTATATTCAAAAAACATTCAATTGATAAAAACATAAAACAGTTTTGAAAGTTGTGAGCTGTGAAAATGACGTGATCTAGGACCTTCTGTCCACCACAGCCTCGTTTTCATCCACGTTAAATTCAATATGGCGTGTAACCTGATTACGGTCTATAGCCATTCAGTTTTGTACATTTTCTATCATTTATAAACCATTAAACACAGACCTACTGTGAGCTTCCAGGTTGTTAATTGAAGGTATATGCTTTTGTTGAAGCCATCAGCCCACATTATTTCAACTTATTTTTGAACTAATCATGTTTAAATAATCATGGAATTCCTGGTGAAAAACTACATAACCCACGATTCTGTAAAGAAACCTCCACCAATCAAAACTGCGATACGCAATCGCACAAAAAGAACACTTTAGCATCTACCCACTGCAAATGACATTATAGAGTCAGTCTCCCTACGCTTTTTGAATACTTGCATATTTTGCAATAAAATGTAAAATATATTGTTTCATGGGATTGTAGTTCTTTCCCTCATTAAAGCCGTTAATTACACAGACTTGTACTTGTGTATTTTTGTCAAATTTTAATTTTTTTTTCTTGCTTCCAAGCCAAAGTTTGTAATCTTGTGGTTTGTGTCGTGGCCTAAAACTCTTTAGCGAATACTTTTTTGGTTACACTTTATTTTACAGTACGTGTACTTATATGTACTTACAGTGTCCTTACCTAAGAAAGTTCTGGTAATACAAGGTAACTACATGGAGTAGGGTTAGTACCTAGTTATTACATAGTTATTGTAATTACTATAATAAGTACATAGTATGAGGAATAGGACTGTAAAATAAAGTGCTACCAGTTTTAAAAATATACCTCATACAAGTCTAATTGCACCGGAAATGTCCTCTAGCTCATAACTCAGAACAGAACAAAGCCTAATATCAAAAACACCAGAAAATGGATGTTGGCAGGGACTCAAAGCAGATGGATAGACTTGAGAAAGATGAGAAAATCAGAGTGAAAAAAGCAGAGTGACACAGTGTCAAAAATATGAGTGGAACTGCACGCAGATGTTTCATATTTCTTCATGACATGAGCTGTGAAATATGCCTGTGAGAAATGAGTGTGTGTGTGTGTGTGTGTGTGTGCGTGCGTGTTTGTGTGGTTTATGAGGACACAAATTTGTATAATAACATGGGTATGACATAGGTATTACAACGAGAAGGTGATTTATGAGGACATTTTGAGTGTCCCCGTAATTCAAAAGGCTTATAAATAATTCAGAATGAGTTTTTTTGAAAATCTAAAAATGCAGAAAGTTTCCTGTGAGGGGTAGGTTTAGGTGTAGGGTTGGTGTAGGGCAATAGAAAATACGGTTTGTACAGTATAAAAACCATTACGCCTATGGAGAGTCCCCATAAATCATAAAAAAAAACCTGTGTGTGTGTGTGTGTGTGTTTGTGTGTGTGAGTGTGGATGTACCTGTAAGGCTCATTTCGAGGTCGCTTCATACTGGGTCTCTGTTTGGAGGGTCGCAAAACTCCCGTCATGCTTTTGTCTAAATAAGAAAGACAGCTCAAGTTCGCGCTGAAAGGAAAACAACAACGACCTGAATAATACAACACTCCTTCTGTCACACAACATGCGCTGCCTCGTTCTTTATATTTATAGTGTAATAAAAAAAATACTGAATCACTCTATCAAGAAACAGAATACATTTAAATATTATGGTATCAGGGTATTAGAATGGAGAAAATCGACCTAAAATAACTTTTTTGTTACAATGGGAATTGCCAAAATATGTTTAAAGAAAGACAGGCTCATTATTTCATTGAAAGGCTATTATAAACCAACATATGTTGCTTGGTTAGGGTTAATCATCTGTGCTTCGAGATTAATATCTCTGTCACATGGTGAACACTATTCAGTGCACTTTCACCACGAATGCATCACTGTCCTAGTGATATAGGCCATTTAACAAGTAATGACTACAATAAAACACCTGGAGTGCATGTGTGTGAGTGTCTGTCTACAATTTTGAGTTTGTAAGACTATTATTTGTCTTCACACATTAAATAACACACATTAGAAGAACAACAGTGACTAAATAATCAGATCACTGCAGAAAGTCCCTGTATAATAGCCTAACATTACTATCTCTATATGTTATTACAGTGTAAAATGTGAAAATGTGCAGTTCATATAATGGAAGGTGCTATTTCTAGCTGATCTGATTATTCAAAAAAAAAGAATAGTTTTGTTGGTGTAATCTAATTAAGTCTGGTTGATTTAGAGTTATTGTTAACTAAAACAAATAATACAATATTAAAAACTAAAAATAAAACTGAATTAAAAATAAAATATAAATATTAGATAAAATAACTAAAATTGGAAATAAAATTTGAAAATGTATTGGTAATTTTCTGCCAGGACACTATCTGTTAAAATAAGTTTCCTTTAACCCTAAAACACAACATAATGCAATGTGTAATTCATAATACAGGTATAACACCTGTGAAAAATCAATACGGACAATTCCTTCATATTAAAACTGGGCCATATTTTTTACAGACTTGTTTATAAATTTTAAATATGGACCAAAACGAAAATAAAAATACATTTACGTTAAACAAAAATATATTAACATAATAATAATAATAATGAACAAACAAATAAAATAACAAAAGCACATAACAAAATCACTGAAACTTACAAATTAATAAATGGTATTTAAATAATACAAAAATAACACTGGGATGCAGTTGATGTAGTTGTGTGCATCTCTTGAATAAATATCCAGATCTTATTTCATCCCTCAAAAAATACAGTATACAGTAATTACAAATACAATTAATATAGTAAACAGTGATTAAAATCGTCCTATCTGGACCCAACTGATTTTGTTTAATCAGTAAAAATGAAAGTCACTATACAACAAATCAGGATAAATACTACTGAAATTAGTTCAGTTCTCAAGATAATTTCACATGATAATTTCATAATGCAAAGAAGACTTCAAATTCTTTATGCAACATATGATTCCTTATTTGTTACATTTTTTTAAAAGTGAAATATGATTTCATTTTTTTGAATGCAGTAATCAAATATGTATACATACAGCTATTCAAAATACCAGCTGCAATCTGACAGCAGTTCAGCTTCCTGTAAAATGCTGATGAGAATGAATCGAAAGAATGAGAAAAAACTCACACTTACACTGAAGCCTGCAGTCTTACATTCGGAACATCCTGCTCATCTGCTGTAGATTCCCTCCAATGCACTCTTTATCTAACCTCAGAGAGAGAGAGAGAGAGAGAGAGAGAGAGGGAGAGGGAGAGGGAGAGGGAGAGGGAGAGGGAGAGGGAGAGAGGGAGAGAGGGAGAGAGAGGGAGAGAGGGAGGGAGAGAGTGAGAGAGAGAGAGAGACAGGGAGAGAGAGAGAGAGAGAGAGAGAGAGAGAAACTGTGTGCATAATTCAAGGTTCGGTCGCATAACATTGTCCCTGTGGGTACTGAGACAGGCGGAAGAGAGAGACAGAATGAGATATCTGCATACAGAGCTGAGTAGTGACAGGTAGACAATGCTGATATGAATAATTGAAGAAAAAAAAATCAAGTAAAGCAACATGCCGGAGCTATTCAAAACAAGCTAAATGTGAATAAATCATCAGTAGGGGGAAGAGACAGAGAGAGAGAGAGAGAGAGAGAGAGAGAGAGAGAGAGAGAGAGAGATCTTAATGGCTTTTGCTACACTGGGGCTTGTACCATTTGCAAGCACATCAAATTCAAAGGGGGTTTAAATGTGCTGCTGGACTGATCCATTTCCTGCAGAAGAGAATGAGTGAAATACAGGCAAGAAAAATGAAAGTTGTGAAGCAAAATTCAGCTGAGACCTCATCCATCACTGTCTGCTCAGTGTATGAGTGCTTCACCATTGAGACAGCCTCTGTTCTTTCATTAGCGTGTGCCACAGTTCCTCCAGGCGCCCTTATTAAGAAAACCAATGAAACGATAACTTCATATAAATCTGTCCGGTTCCGTTTGAACATGACACAGCTGACTGGTTCTTTTCTTGTTATTCAGGGAGCTTTAAATTCATTCCCCTGAGCTTCCCCTCCCAACTAGGCTAATGTGAGAGGATGACAGATGAAGAACTAACTTCTCCAGTAGTCAAGACTCACTGAAATCACGCTGATGCTGTGAAACTCGCTTGGGTTTGGGATTCAAAAAGCCGTCGTCTGTGACAGCTGTGATTTCGGAGAAATGCGCCTGTTAGTCCTGGGACACATTTGAGGTGATTGAGGTGATTAATGAACGCCTGTGCTTCTATGAAAAGATATAAAGTTTGACTGCTTTGATAGCAATAATTGGATCTATAACTGCACCTATTCAATAAATGAAGAAAATATATATATATATTATAAAAAATATGTAATAATAATAAATAAAAACTTCCATAGAATATCTCAGCTGTCCAAATGTGTGTTTTATGCAGTGGACAGTGTTTACAAGCACTTGTCCTCAGATAATTACAGTTTGGGAAACTGTATAGCATAAAATCGTGAATGTATAGCCTACTAAAACCAAAAATATTTATATAGGTTATGTAACATAATTGATACCGCAATCTGAGAACCAAAAAGTGTCCAATAAGCCTAACACCGGATCTGCTGTGTTACAATTTTAAAGCTATAAATATTGTGAAAATGTTATGGTATCTAATGCAATTCATAATTATAGTGTTTTGGACTTCTTTAAAGGGGTCATATGATGTGATTTAAATTTTTCCTTTCTCTTTGGAGTGTTACAAGCTCTTGGTGCATAAAGAAGATCTGTAAAGCTGCAAAGACTAAAGTCTCAAATCCAAAGAGATATTCTTTATAAAAGTTAAGAGTCAGCCACGCCTACCTAAAACGCCTCGTTCTAACACGCCCCCACATATCTACCTCACTATGTGGGAAGATTTGCATAACGCCGCCCAAATGTTCACACAAAGAAAGAAGGCGTAACTTTTATTCTCGCTGTAGTATTGTTGCCGCCGCCGCCATGTTGTGAAGGCGCTGTGTGTTTCGTTGTGAAAGCGAAACTACTTTGTTTGGTCTTCCAAAAGAGGACAAGACTAGAAATCAGTGGTTAAGTTGTATTTACAACACTGTTCCAGAACAATTCAACCCAAATATCCAGATGTGTGCAGCGCATTTTATGGAGGACTGTTTCCTGAACCAGTAGCCTAATGCGTCTGTGGCACAAAGGCTGTTTTTGGGCAGTTTCAACTTTGCAAGGACAGTCTGGCGCTTCTGACTCAAAGACTGTAAGTATGTTTTCATATTTAAAGGATTTGCCACTGATGACTGAAACGCGAGTTTTGAGCAGTGTAGAGTAGCGCTTGTTGTTTGTCATTTCTCCGATCACAAATGCAGACATGAGTAACATGTAAAAAGGTAAACATTCAAAATGGAAAGTTTTTATATTTAAAATGCAGTTAACATCACACAACGTTTTCACCATTACGACTGTTTAATAGTTCAATAAACAGTTCAATAAGAAAATACAATAATATTAGGTCACTTACATTTTAGGCGGAAACCAGCCGATTCACTGCTGCTTGATTCCGTGTTCTGAACGAATCGGTTGAGTCAAAGTTTCATTAGCACAGGCATAAACATCTGATGAATCTGCCGTTTGAACGAATCGCTTGAATGAACGACTCAATGACTCACTCATTAAACGCTCACTACTGGCACTGGCGTTTTAATTTCGTTGAAAAGTATCATTTCCACCATCATTTCTTGTTTGTATATTCAAAAATATTTAAAAGAATCTCATAATATTATCTAATGCCGTTGTATTTTTCAGTGGACATTATTTAATTTGATAACGTATAGATAATCACATTATTATAATTTAATTTATAGATCAAATGTAAGAATTTGAAATGAAAGTATTTATGAGATTAGTGGGAAAATGCCCTCTATAAAGGTAAAAACATTTAATTGGATAAATATTGAATAGCCTATATTGAATAAAATGAGAATATTGCTTCAGAATAAATCATATTTGCAAAAAAAACACACACACACACACAGGTTTGTTTTTGTGAAAAGTGGGGACATCCCATAGGCGTAATGGTTTTTCTACTGTACAGACCGTATATTCTATTGCCCTACACCAACCCTACCCCTAAACCTACCCCTCACAGGAAACTTTGTGCTATTTCAGATTTTCAATACACTCCATTCTGTGTGATTTATAAGCGTTTTGAAAAGTGGAGACATGGGGTAATGTCCTGAAAAGTCACCTTCTCCTTGTAATACCTATGTCATACCTCAGTCATTATACAAATTTATGTCCTCATTTGTCACAAAAACGCGCGCGCACACACACACACACACACACACACACACACACACACATATATAGTTCTGTCAGACTCGCGTGCGTGTGCAGATGTGGGGCGGGTTTAAACTCCTCAAAACAAGCAAAGACTCAGTCTGGACTCAGACAGCATCTACACACACTTTGCCTAAGTTGAACATAACCAAACTGGAATAACATTAAGCTCAAGTTTTCTGTTATTCACTTAAGATTCTGAGGACTTCTATTAAGGATGAAGGTTTTTTTCATGATAATTTTTACAAGCCAACTCTTCATATCTCAGGGGCAAGTAAGTAACTTTAAAACAATATAATAAATAAACATAAAGAGAAACTTTATTTCAAATTTTGGGCCTTTTACAAATAATTTGTATTTGCTGTTTTGAATTTTTGTATTATTTATTTATTTTTATTTTTGTTAATGGGCCTATATCATTATACTGTAATGTATTTTACACAGTCTTTAATGTATGTGAATTATTATTTTTTATTATATTATATTATATTATATACTGGTCCTCCAGGGTCTATGTAAAATATTTTTAGTAATAATAAAATAAATATATTAAAAAAATGTATGATTAAGTATATAATAATATTATTAAACATAGAAATATTTATTATTAAATATCATTATTAAACTAAATAATTTAATATTTTATTGTGGTTCTTCAAGGTCTGTTGCTGAATATTTAACATTTTAAATCTAAAATCTAAATCTAAATAATGAATTTACTTTTTTCAGAAAATTATGCTTTTATGCAGACTTTTATATGCAAATTTGAATGTGGTAAAATCAACATCGTGTTAATATATTAATGAGTTTGTAATTAAAAACGAATGCTCTGCTAAGCTCTCTTCATAAACATGCTTCACATTTGCAAACCATCTTTCAGCTCAGTCTGCAGATATGAAATAGTTTTTCACGCTGTGAAACCACTGTGGTGTTTGCCTTTGGTTTTAACACCAGGCTCTTATTTGGCCCCGTCTCCAAAACACAGAGTAGATCTAGTCCAAGACTAGACCAGATTTGCAGGGGACAGACCAAATGACAGTGCAATTTAGCGCTGAAATAGCCTTAAACTTTGTTTGGAAAACTGGACAATGGAATGGACTCTGGATTCTTCTGAAAAAATGAACCTACATGAAAACACTGATTTGTTTTCATTTAAATTAAAACTCATGAATTTAATTTTACTTATTACATTTTAATTATTATTTTTCTTATAATATTTTGTCTTACAGTATAAAATGTCTGATAAAAATTTCTATGGGTAATAATGTTAACTACCTAAAACACCCATGAGTGGTCTAATATATATACAGTGGGTATGGAAAGTATTCAGACCCCCTTAAATTTTTCACTCTTTGTTATATTGCAGCCATTTGCTAAAATCATTTAAGTTAATTTTTTTCCCTCATTAATGTACACACAGCACCCCCATGAGACGTCCTTCCTGCAGAGTCTGCGGAGCCTCCGCAAGAAGCTCAGCCTGTTACAGAACAGCACAGTAAAACACAACAAATCCAACACAGACAAGAAAAGCACAGGTCAGCACCCACAGCCAGACTGGTTTATACAGACAAGAGTAAGACAATGTCAAAAACAGGAGTAAATAACACAAATTCTAATGGAATTGTTCACTAAAAAAATCATTTTTTTCTTAAAATATATTCACTTCCCCATGCTATCCAAGATGTAAATGAGTTTGTTTCTTCATCAGATTTGTAGAAATTTAGCATCACATCACTTGCTCAGCAATGGATGCTCTGCAGTGAATGGGTGCCGTCAGAATGAGAGTCCAAACAGTCCATCTGGAGAAGCCAAAAGAGGCATGTTTCCAACAAATCCATCATTATGTTTTTTGAACTTTAAACCATTGCTTTTGGCCAAAATATGAGTCGATGATCCATAATAACACTTCCTCCAGCGAAAAAGTCCATCTCCTGTTGTGCTCTTACATTAAAATTCACCCACATATTTGTTTAGAGCTGTTTTGGCTTGTAAACAGTGCTTGATTTGTGCAGATTTCTCCCCTGATTCAGATGAGACGACTTTTTCACTGGAGAAAGCAATATTATGGATTATGGACTCGCATTTTAGCTGTAAGCAATGGCTTTAAATTAAAAACGTCCATAATGATTAATTTTTTTTATAGCAAACACAAGCCATTAACTGATGGACTGGAGTGGTGTGGATTATTGTGATGTTTTTATCAGCTGTTTGGACTCTCATTCTGACGGCACCCATTCACTGCAGAGGATTCACTGGTGAGCAAGTGATGCAATGCTACATTTCTCCAAATCTGATGAAGAAACAAACTCATCTACATCTTCAATGGCCTGAGGGTGAGTAGATTTTCCGCAAATTTTAATTTTTGCATGAACTATACCTGTAAACTATGTTATGATAATGATATAAATCAATCTTAACCATTAAATATGTCAGTGTTGTAGTACAGGATGTACTATGCAATATGTAGGAACTGCTTGTGCAGCCTCTTTATTTATTTTTCCCAGGATCAGACTGTCCTCCACCTGAACCGCTGGCTAATGGGCGGGTCCTAGGGAATGTGTTTAAGTTGGACCATCAGGTTCACTTCCTGTGTAGCCCTGGCTTTCAGCTGATGGGGCCAGAAACCAGAGTCTGTCTGGACTCCCAAAACTGGAGTGGAGCTCAACCGTCCTGCAAGTGTATGAGTCTGATACTGTTTTTAACATTACTCTTTAAACCATTATCATCTGTGTCAGGAGAAATATGACTTGCACTAGACTCTGAAATCGTTGTTTAAGCATGTAAGTTTGACAGATGTCTAGACTTTAGGGAGAGTAGCATGGCACAAAACATGACCATTCTCATTTATGTTTCGGACAAGCCATTCTTTATACATTAACATATTTAACTTCATTTCTGTGTAAATAACTCGCAAAACCTCAAGTAAATTTTCACATTCTATTCTATGTAACAATTTATGCCTCGTTCAACAAATTTGTGTGTAAATAGTTCATAAAATAATTTCTAATAAATAAACTGCTGCATTCAGTTCAATTTTTAATGATTTACTCCTCAAGAAATATAAGCTAAACAATGTTAATGTTAAACAATATTTGACCAACCTCTTGCATAGTGTTGCATTTAATTCAGTGTAACAAGCTGCATTCATATTAACAGAACAAACTACGCCTCACTCATAAAACTAGCCAAACAAATCGACACATTTGTGCAAATCCTTTTTAAAACTTCTTGTGTAAACTTGTTGCATTCAGTTTCACATAACTTATGCCTCATTCATGGCATAAGTTATGTGAAAACAATCACAATGAATTCATTGCAACATGTATGCCTCATTAATCAAACGAAAAACAATCTGTGTAATACCTTAAAAAAAGCCTGACATTGATTGTCAAATGTTATTCAGTGTAACAATATGTGCTTAACATTTGAAACACGACCCAAACAAATTCTTGTGTAAATCCTTAAAAAAAAAGTCAAATGTAGTAAGTTTACACATTATTAATTAAATAAAAGATGAAAGAATTTCTGTGTAATTTATTCATTAAACCTATGCATAAATGTGCATAATAACATCTATGTAAGAGTTATTCTTAAAACACAAACTGAGCATTTTTGTGTAAATTCTTCATTAATCCTCTGTAAGTTGTTGCTTCAATTCAGTGCAACTGTTTATTTCTCTTTTAAGAAACACAAATGTGTAAATTCTTTTAGAAATGTTCTTACATGCTCACATGTTGGTTTCACGAACGAAACCCAGTATTGTGTACTGTTGTGATGCTTTGTGTCTATATCTGTTTTTCTCAAACCATGCATAGTAAATTTGTGGAAAGACGTGTTTTAAACGTTTCACCCATATATACAACAGTATGATACTGAATGAACTGTACTTTCCTCAGGATCTCGCTGCCAGTTGTGTCATATCACATATGGGGACTACTCTGACTAAAATCTAAAAGGTCAAAGGTCATTGTATAAGCATGTACTGTTTTCTGTCTTAGTTGTGGACACCACTGTAAACAATGATGCATCCGCCTCTATATCAGCATCATCTTCCTCATCCTCTCATTGTCCTACCTCCATCTCCACCCATGTGAGAGCGTCTCGCTGCATTGAGTTTCTGGACTCCACCCACTGCACCTGTGAGCAGGGCTACAGCATCTCCAGCCACAACAGCACACTCTGCACAGGTGACACTCGCACACGCACACGCACACGCACACACACAGACACAGACACAGACACAGACACAGACACAGACACAGACACACAGGTTTGTTTTTGGGAATTGTGGGGACATTTGATAGGCGTAATGGTTTTTATACAGTACAAATTGTATGTGCTCTTGCTCTACACCAACCCTACACCTAATACCCCTCACAGAAAACTCTGTGTGATTTATAAGCGTTTTGAAAAATGGGGACATGGAGTAATGTCCTCATAAGTCACCTTCTCTTTGTAATACCTATGTCATACCCATGTCATTATACAAATTTGTGTCCTCATATGTCACACACACACACACACACACACACACACACACACACACACACACACACACACACACACACACAGTATTTGTATACTGCAGTACAAGTGTTAAATATCTGTGCAATTATGTGTATTTTTTCATCTATGTCACCCACACACACACACACACACACACACACACACACACACACACACACACACACACACACACAGTATTTGTATACTGCAGTACAAGTGTTAAATATCTGTGCAATTATGTGTATTTTTTCATCATTTAATTATTTCATGACCATTTCCAATTTCAAATTCTTTTTTTTTAAAAATTGCCATTTTCCACCCTCTGTTTGATCATTAGAATTAAACATAGTTTTTAATACTGTACCTTCAATATATATATATATATATATATATACACACACACATACATTATTATGATTGTGTAACCTCACTGAATCTCGAATTAATAACTGTAGGCTGTATTACATTGTAACAATCACAAATGCAAGCCTCTCTGTGATGTCATTTCCTGTTTCCTAGCTTTCTTGTCACATGACAACAACAGGCTTCCTGCTGAACTACTCTCCCTCCCTGAATATGGCAGACAAAACTATTCCAATCATTTAAAAATAAATAAAGTAATAATAATAAAATAATAATACAAAATAAAAAACATGTCAAATAAAGGCATTTTGCCAAACAGAGATGCAAAACGGGAACAATTGAAGCGAGCGAGAGAGAGTAAATGAAAGGCTTCGACTCACTGTAATTGCTCATGAGTTTCTCTCGTAAGTAAATGAGGGCTTTCCGTCTGAACTCCCCCAGCTCTTGCTTTCTGAGGCCTGTAGTGAACCAGTCCAACATGTTTCGCACAGAGACAGACTGCTGCATCAGAAACACCATTTCTGCAGGATTCAATGACCTTTAATAATGCTGTTCCTACAAGTCCTTATAGGAGAAATAAAAACAGACAGAAACGAGCCAATAGTTATTAAATTAGAGCTATAAAATAATATCTTTAATTGCAGACACTGGTATCTTGGCAAATTTGAGCACAGTATGAGACATTAACGCTAAGAAACGTCCTGAAAGACAGTGTGTTAATATGAAGGAATTTTGTGTATTTAGTGGGTTTATTTACAGTGTTTACTTGTATTTTAAATTATGCATTGTACTGTGTTGTATTTTAAGGTTAACGGAAATGATTTTAAACTTAACAGCATAAAATTACCAGTTCCTTTTCTGTTTTTATACAGCATTTTTAGTTACTTGTGAGATTACTGGGGTTGTATTACATTATTACATTGTAACAATCACAAAAATAAATAAATACATAAATAAATAAATAAATAAATAAATAAATAAATAAATAAATAAAAACCTATGCAGAAATGCGCTGCTCAAACCATTAAGACTAAAATAATAAGGGATATTGTTAAAAATAAACTCGTTTCACAGTAACACAGAACCACAAAATTACATTTTCATGATAAGGATATTTATTATTTATTTATTTTTGTCCAGAAAACGTCTTAGGTTACGTATGTAACCATGGTTCCCTGAGAAGGGAACGAGACACTGCGTTCTCTAGGGGTCGCTATGGGGAACGCCTTCAACTTGACCGATGTCTGAAGCATACATCTAAACACGACAATGATATTGGCCGGCGACAGCCTATTACGTCACTACCTTCCGAGGGAACTTTGAACTGGGTCCTCTAGGGGTCGCTATGGGGAACGGTATACCCACGCTGCCATGCTGAGGGAAGTGAATGCCAATACCAAGGCGAGCATTAAGTGCCAACTCAACAAGTCAAAGAAGCTGCCCCTAGGACGTTTGACGGCTGTCAGTGACATTACCCTCTACGGCCAAAGGCTTGAGCCGTGCACCAAACTTACCTGTAAGGGCTGGCTTGTATAAAGCCCGAGCCAAGGGCAAAGCTCAAGCCTGGAATCAAAAATAACCAATTCCTTTAAGGGGATAAGGCCGAGTATCAGGGCTGCTTACAAACCCATATCCTGGCCTGTCAAACAGAGACTACCTCCTGCTCTAAGAACGAGCTACCGAGGATACCCAGGAAATCTTAGTAGTAACACCCTGTCTAGAAAGTGAATATGGACTTAGAATGTGCACAGAGAACTAGCGTGAGCACTTACCATAGATATGGATTTAGAAATACTGTAATGAACCAACAGGGAGACATAGGTTGAGTGGAAAACCGGGGCCTAACCAACTCATAGAAAGGGAACGAGGCTACAGCGGGTAACCCTTAAGGCTGATTTATACTTCTGCGTCGGACCTACGCCGTAGCTTACGCATAGACGCACACTCATATGCTGTAGCCTGACGTGCACCTCTCCAAAAATCTAACAGCGCGTCAATTCTACGCAGACCGCAAGCGCTGTGATTGGTCTGCAAGAACCCCTCCCTCCATATGTACTTGAGTTTTGTGTGTGTTTATGTACACTTTAATATATTTTAATGTTACACCTTCTAATATAAAATAAAACAAAGCAAAGAACAAGTGTCTTATCATTTATTATACTACATAGCATTATACATCAGTAGTTGTCCGCAACAAACAATGTTGATCTGCCATGGTACAAGTCCTTGTGCAGACTGAAAGTATGCCATCATCTCCTGGTCCGTTGTTGTCTCCTTTTTGTAGTTTTAAATAATGATTTAATGACTTTATATTTATTTGCCGCCGTCACGGCTATAATGCTTCTCCGACGAGCCGCTTCTTCTTCGGCTTTTGCCGTGGTACTGTGGGTTACACCAGCAACATGCCCGTGGACACTGCTGTCTAGCGGTTTGCATGTGTACTGCACGTTGATGCAGACAACGACGCAGAAGTATAAATGAAAACTGACACATAGCCTACAGCGTAGGTCTGACGCAGAAGTATAAATCAGCCTTTACCATACAGGATTTTAGAAAGTGCGCAAATTTCCTAGTTTGCACACTTACCACAATGTGGATTTTAGAAAGTGCACAGAAGCTGAGCATGTGCACTTACCATAGCATGGATTTAGAAACACTGTTACTAAAGGGTAACCAAGAACCTGTCCACCTCAAACTGGGAGCAGCGTGCTCATAGGTGATCCCCTAAGTGAGGGGAGCACTGCTAAGCTCGACCAACAAAAAGAGCAGCCTAACAGGAAGGCCGAAGGAGGCCTAACAACCTGAGACTGCTGCTCAATGGCTCCAAAAACGTAGGACCTGCTTTTCCTGCTTTTCCTCAGTTGGGAGAGGCATGCTCAAAGGTAACCCTCTAAGATGAGGGGAGCACAGCTAGGCTTGACCAAATAGGGGCAACTAATAAGGGAGGCAGAAAGCATCCAAACTACCTGATGTCGCTGTCACAGAGCTCAAAGAGCGGAGTGCTCGACCCTTAGCTAAGCACTAAGCTCAACCATACCAGTATCATCAGAGATACATCAGAAGAGTGAGGCCCAAGTAAGGATCCGGGGCCTGAGACAACTCAGAGAAAGGGGACGAGGCAGCATCACGTCACCCTTACCACAAAAGATTTTAGAAAGGTGCACAAAGGCCCAGCGTGCCATGATTATGGAATTTAAGGAAGTGCACAGAGAACAAGCATGTGAACTTGACATGACAAAGACTAGGCTCTAAGCAGAAGAACAACCAACTCCGGGATCGGAAGAGACACATAGAAGCTCAACTGGGAGCGATATTCTTAAAAACGACCCTCGAAAGATGGGAGCACTGCCAGGCTCAACCATCACTAGAGGGGCAGAAGGCCCAGCTCTCCAAGATTCTCTACTCTCCGCAGAGAGGAGAAACAAACGTTCCATTCCGGTTGGAATGACCCTCCCGCAGTGAGGGGAGCACCATGCTCCGAACGCACCAACAGGGAGAGCTGCAGGCTCCTTGCCATAGAAAAGATAGACCAAGGAGGCCACAAAAAAGGACTAGCTACTTGATGTGATCACCTGTTGGAATTACGAGAGCAGCGCTCCCGGCCCTCAGGCTAAGGCAAGTCCTCAGATTCAACCCAAGCTCAGGCCTAAGCCCCTCAGGGCAAGACCGAGCAGCCCAGGGAGACAGTGCCTCCAAATGAGCTCAACCTGGGAGAAAAAACCTCAAAGGCCCGCAGGTTTTTTTGATATATATACAACTAACAACAAAAAAATCCTAAAATAATAAATAGAATACCCCATAACAGCAGCATTTCCAGCAGTATCCAACATTTCTCAATCATGATCTTACTCAGCTAAATGTGACAATTAGCTTAACAGCTGTATTCCTTGTTTGCTAGCTACCTATGCACATACAGCATACATTAAAAATGTTTTCGATAATTCCGCTGGAAATGCAGAAATAAGCCGTAATTTTGTTTTATTTTTAACTCTTTGGTAGATACATTTATAATTTCTATTACATTACTACTACTACTTTTACTACTAATAAAACAGATCTCTGGGGGCCCCAAAAGTGCGTGAGCCCTTAGAATCGTCCTAACTTTCCCCCCCTTAGCGGCGCCCCTGAACACCAACGACAAACGAGAATGTCAGCCAATGGTCAAGTAAATGTATTTTTAAAATGCTAAATTATTCAGTGTGTGATCATGTATGAAATGAGACAGAACAGAAATGGATTAATATCGCATGGTAGGTTTGATGTATGATTAATGAATTTAATTTCTGAACAGATTTCAGATGCAGATGCCACTGTAGTTGTAGAATGACCCAAATGTGATTGAGCGCCGCATGTGTGTGTGTGTTTGTGTCTGTGTGTGTGTGTTTCAGACATTGACGAATGCGAGCTCTTCCGTCGAACTCGTCCTGGCCGTCTGTGTTTGCACACCTGTGTGAATACGGCTGGAAGTTTCCACTGCGAGTGTCCCGCCGGTTACAGCTTGGGCCGTGATAGCAGGAGCTGCCATGGTCCGTTCATTATCAAACCTTCATTATGACCTGCTGGTTTGTCAAAGTTCTGTAGAACCATCTCAAACAAACAAGAGAAGGTCTGTTTTAAATCCAGTGAGCAGCCTTCCTGTCTGCTTCCACAGGCACCTGTCTTCTAGGGCAGCATCCTAATCGCAGCGTTCCTCACTGGTGATCGGATAATGGAACGCTCTTCATAAGCAGCAGTTTCACTCAACGCTCAAACAGCAATCTTTACATGAAACACAGGGAACATGAAACAGTAGAGCGCAACAGTAGGCAAAAATCCCATTTTCCATACAGATATGTTTTTAGCAGTAACGTATAAAAATAATGTAAATGCTAGATTTCCTGTGGAAACTCCACTAGCCAAGATCCTGAAGAGAGATCCACCAATCAGAGAAGATGCTGCTAGCATGGAAGCCAAAACCATAGCAAAATAATAGTTGAGTGAGTCGCCCTACACTTTCAAACTACTTATAAAAAATATACTGTTTTTATACTTTGCCATTTTATATAGTTTTATATTACGCTTTGATTATTTTAGGCAGAAAAAAAGAAGTCTAGTCACTATTATGCTCAATAAAGTGCTGGTTAACTGATTATATGTCATTTGGATTATGTAATCAGATTCCAAAAATTAAGTACTAATTATATGATTAGTTATTATTGTGATATATTATATTATTATATTATATTACATTTTAAAATCCCCATAATCAGATTACAGTTACTTTTTACGGATTACATGTTATTTACACAATGGCACTTAAATTATTCCTAACTTATTGATTCAGCTAATTCTTCCTTTTTCCTATGAAATGTCCTTTATAAATTAACTTTGTACTTATAGCCTGTACGTTTGGACAGTATTCCAGTTTTTGTGTAATTGTACATGCCATCCACTAGTCAGGAGGCTGTGATTACACAGAAAATGGACAAATTTGAATTAGTATTTGAACTCAATGGGTCATTTAATCACGCATTACTGTTTCTTTGGAAGCTCTTTGTCTTAAACTGCTCATTTAATTTACAGTTAATTTAAATTAATTTACAGTTTAATCCACACATGCATGCCAAACTCCAACATATTTGCACAGTTCACAGTTCTCGGATGTCGGTTAATGGTCACACTGACAATTGTTTGTTTCATTCTGATTTGACATTTCTATGATTTTATTAATTATTAGCTTTTCATCAACACCCTATTTTCCCCATGAACCTCAGTTTGGGAAACCCTGCTGTAATGTAATGTTTAATGCATTTCATGATATCATTAGGGGGGGGGGGGGGGGTACACAATGGTACACAGTCCCATTCAAGTCTATGTGACAAACAATTTTGGTTAAAAGTAACTTAAAAGTAATCCAAAAAGTAGTCAGACTACATTACCTAATATGTGTAATCCAGATTACTACAATTTTCGCCATGTAATTTGGAATCAGTAATAGACTAGAAATAGAATTTGTAAATAATCTACCAGCACTGTTAGCATGTTGGTAAGATAATTGCACAATAATTAAAACATTTTTAATTTACTTGCAACATGTCTGCAATCTTTTTTTTTTCTTTTTTCGCTGAGCTCCTTGCAAGGAACTTGGGGAATACAATGCTGCCTTAGATTTAGCCCATGAGAAGGTCCCTACGATGATTTAAAATGCTGTTTTGGTTGGTGGTTCACTAGGTTTTGGAACAAAGCGTGACTTTCCAAGATATAAGCCAATTATCTTCAAAAATGGGAAAATTAAGTCTATATTTATTAGGCTGTGACACACCAAGCTGATGGTCGGGCTGTCTATGAGCGTCTGTCTGTCTGCTCTGCTCTGTTTTTGCGGTGTGTTCTGCACCATTGTCACTAATCAGACCCCGTCGGAGGCTTCATCGCCGACTGAGCATGTTGAATCGGCGTTGGGTATTCGGTAAGATACATCATTCTGATTGGCTGTTCTGAACCATTGGCCCAGACGGATGGACGCGGTGACAACATAGTCAGCTTTCGTCACTGCTAGTTCTTTGATGTCCGTTTGGTGTGTCACAGCCTTAAAATGAACTAACATAAATATTTGATTTTCAAAAACACACCGATTTAATGCTCTTACCATGTGCTTTCTGTAGACATTGACGAGTGTGCGAGAGCGACCCATAACTGCAGTAGTGAGCAGGTGTGTGTGAATACATACGGAGGTCATCGCTGTGTGGAGGTGGACTGCCCTCGCATCCGGAACGCCACGTACATCAAAACCTCTCCGCTGTGAGTCACGCCACTGCCCTTAATCACTTGCATTAATGTGTATCTCAGAAAATTCCACCTTCAAATTCAGCAGGCAAGCTCCTACTTCCTGGGCCAATCTGAAAAACAATTTATGGAAGTTTGCAAAAAAGAATCCCATCTGTCAGTTAATTTAAAGGCTGCATAAAGACCGAAACAATCTACATGTGAACACAAACTCTTTTAGCTATGCTAGCTCAATGACAGATTTCGTAGCACAACTCAAACTGGTGTAGCTAAAAGGGTTTGCGTTTATGAACATGTTTATAACGCAACACAGGTATGTTGCGTTACTAGCATTGGTCATGATTGTAGGGGTCGCTATCATGAACATTAGCATAAAATGTCTACGGCTGTGTCCGAAATCGCCCCCTATACCCTTAAATAGGGCACTATTTGAGGGAACGGCCATTTTTAGTGGTGTCCGAAACCATAGTGGACGTTCTCGAGTGCACTCATTCAATCCCACAATGCACTGCAAAAACGAGTGTACAACTGGTGCACGCTCAACGGCTAGAGAATGCCCATAATGCACCGTGAGAGTCACGCGCCGAATGAATTCCCGCATCTCGCCAGAAGATGGCGCCCACAGCTGAATAATCAATCCGTTCATTTTTACAAAGCGCTCATCCATGGTGTACAGCATAATGTACAACACGGGTATAAATTCATTGTAAATTGATTATTAAATTGTTTGATTAGGGTTTATACATAATTTCCGTGACAGAGTTCAAGATAAATCATTTAATCTTACTACTGGAGCTGCTAGTTTGCTAGTTTCAAATAATTAATAAACAGCAAGCACAAACTATGCAAAAGCGGCATTCCTTCTGGTGCACTCAGTGTCCGAATTCACTACTCGTTTTCATTCACTCCTTCTAGTGAACTGAATTAGTGACCTAATGTAGGGAATAGTGAATGAGGGTATAGGGGGCAATTTCGGACACAGCCTACTTCTTATTTTAGCTAGCTCAATTTCATTTGCATTCAGACAGAGTTCAAAAGTTGATATACTTGTTTATAACACTACATGGGTGCGTTGCTGCTATTGTGAACATTAGCATAAAAATACTGGTGTGTTACCCCAAAACAGCTAAAGCCCAAAGTATACTTGAGTTGACGCAAAAGCTTTGATTTGATGTGTGCACAAACATTTACGCTTGACACATGCGCACTAGAAAGATTGTATCCTTGTTCAGAGTCTGCGCACTTTCTCTCCAGAAGTTATCACCGATAAAATGTCTTTGTGTGCATTTAAACTAGAGTTGCGTGAATCTCTTGAGGGCCGTTTACGCACAGGTAGTGGAATGGGGAAAAATGTCAAGGCCTAGAGACACGTTTTTTAAAAGTTTAACTTATTTTATCTTAAGCTCTGCGTTTTTAAAGATGCACGACACCAGCACAACAGTCAAACATGTCCATTTAGCAGATGTTTATATAGAAAACCAATGGAAAAGTAGTGCAATGGAATAGTAGTTTGTCTTAGTTCGGTCTCATCTGCTTCTTTTTTGACTGCGAAACAAGGGCCAAGGGCCAAGCGTTGCCACCTTGTGGACAAACTAATTAGTATGCCTGAGTGCAAACTATGTCAAAGATTAAATTTACGTCGCACACTAATGATGCACAAATAACGAAGTGCACTTGCAATGTGTCGACCAAATATTCTGTTACCATGTTTGCATAGATCATGTTTCTAGTCTGCGACAAGGGGCTTTTTTCCTCCAGAGTTATAATTATTGTCACATTTGCTCCAAAACCAAATTTCTGAGTTACTGCTCTGTGCAGATGGACTTGCTATAATCCCAGGACATAATTTCAGGTTAACGTTTGGTCTGGCATTCCAGCGTCTCTCTCTGGTTTCTCTTCCATCCAGGCGTTGCGACCGTAACCCTTGCATCCAAGGAGACAACGCCTGTTTCCAGGCCCCGGTCTCCATTAACTTCCACTTCATGTCCGTGGTGTCCAATATGTCCACACCCACCGTCCTCTTCCGTTTGTCTGCGGCTCGCATCCTGGGCGACACTCTGCGCTTCGGCCTGCTGGGGAACCGGGGAGTCCAGCACTTCAGCGTCCAGCGCTCGGGCAGACTGACGGGGCAGCTGGTGCTGGTGAACGCTGTTCAGGGTCCCGCCACGCTAGAGCTCGATATAGAAATGAGCGAGATGGAAAGAAGGGTGCTGCTCGGGCGATACGTCACGAAAGTCACTCTCTTTGTGTCGCCGTATAACTTTTGAGAAGCAGGAGACAGATGATGGACTGATATTGGGAAATCATTTACAGGTGAGATATTGGGGACTGGGCCTGCGTGCCAATTTACGAGGACAAAAGAAAACCTATGTATGGTCCAAGTAATTTAGTTCCTCAGAATATAAAAAATGCATTAATTTCTTCCATTTGGACTAAAGTGTTTATGCATTGTTGTAGTTATTAACAATATGACATGTAATTTTGATATGTGAAAAAAAAATCCATTCATTTAAAGGAATTTAAAGACATTCTGGGACAAATAAGGATGTCAAAGACAATAAAAAAAAAGAAATCTTTTAAAATTTAGTTTGAAATGTGTCCGTTTTTTTTTAAATTAAGCTTTGTATTCAAGCCGGTTTAATGGGTTTTAAAAAACATAAAATTTTCGAGGAAAAGATTAAATTTAATGACTTTAAAATTGTCATGTGGTGTAATTATCAAGTAAGTTCTTAAACATTGTCAAAAAAAATATTATTTTTTTTTAATAAGAATTATCATTAAAACAATGAAAGTTTTTTTACCTTGAAATAAATGTTTCTTCTTAAATGTCGAATGGTCATTGATTTATTTCCCAAATATTCTGTTCTGGGACTATATAAGTTCGGTCAGTGAAAATTACGAAATTCCCCCGAAAGTGTGGATTGCTTTATGGCAGCAACAAACGCACCAGTGTCCCAACACTATCAGTGCTAAATAGTATTTGAAATTAGAATCAGTGTCTCAAATCATAGTATGTTGAAATGAGCATCTCAAAGGTCCTCAGCTGGTTTACTATTTCTGCTGGAAATTTAAGATCCATGCACACTCTAACGGCTAACATTACCCACAACCCACTGCACGTTAGATGAGGATTTGAATAGAACTACAAATGCAACTAAAAAACTACAAACATGGCAAACATGTGAACGATGGTTGAGTAGAGAAAAGGGTTTGTATAATTAACAATCAGTATCTAACCTGATGAGAACATGTTTATTCAATGTTATTCTCTTTATTTTTCATCTGCAACAACACTGCAACTTTTCTAAAAAAATATGTTTGGCCGTTAACTCTTAAATGCATTATTATGCAAACACAGAGTAGAGCTCATGGCGTAAAAGACATGCGACTGGCAGATCAGCATGCCTCTTAATTTCTCTTGAAATGAAATGTGGATGATGTTAACGGACAAGAGTATTGACAGGCCATTTTAAACTGTGACAGGATGCACATCAAGTAAAGATGCAGTTATGACAAAATAGTATATCCCAAATCTTGCCTACACTCTAAAAAATGCTGGGTTGTTTCAACCCAATTTTGGGTCAAATATGGACTAACCCACCTGTTGGGTTAAATTTTGGTTACATTTTTAATTAACCTTTTAACCCAACAAGTGGGTTAGTCCATATTTGACCCAAAATTGGGTTGAAACAACCCAACATTTTTTAGAGTGTACTATTCGATAAATACCTCAAGTAGCATTATAATTTTTTACATCATCTCACAACAGAGGCAGATGTGGCTCCACTGAAGTACAAACAGAAAAGTGGAATTTGTCACAAAATAGTGGGAATGTGGCACCCCAGTGTCATTGTGGCCACACAAGATGATCCAGACCTCCTCTCTACACTCTTGACCTTTACTTGTGTAAAGAGGCGGCTATATAAAGACACTCGCACACAGACGGCAAAGATTCCCAAACCTGAACCATTAACAAGCTTAAACAGGACAAAACACAGCAGATACAAACTATCAGATCAATTTTATTAACAACGGTCCAATTCAACTCGTACAGAAGAAAACATGAGAACGAGAAAAGAAAAGCGCAGTTATTGTGTTATATCTGTATAGTACACAGTTTAATCAGATGCGAGGAAAAATACTTTTCATAATAAATTTGTACACAGAAAGTAAATACAAAAACAATGAATCAATTCGTCATTTATCCTTTGATCATTTTTATGTCATATATCAGTTTGACAGACAGGAAGCGTGATTGGGAGCAGATGACACATGCACATGTAAGGAGTTTTTCAGTGCTAGTTTAACTCATTCAGAAATAATGTGAAAACACCTGCACTCAGCCGTCGACAGCCATATACCATGATAATAATGCGATTCAATAATTGATTCAAACTACTCACAGAGGAATATGAAACATTCAGAACGGCCCGGTCCGAGACTTTAAAAAACCAATCCAATCAAAATTAAACAAACTTATTTTAATTATCTGACCAAGCCAATCAAACGCAATTACATTTACATTTTTAATTATTAATTTTTTTGACCAAGCCAATCAAAAAACCAAAAAATTAAGTATCTGACCAAGCCAAAGAAATACAAATATGAATCATTTAATTTTTGATCGGCTTGTTCAGATACATACAGACACGCACACAAAATAAATAAATAAAAATAATTTCACTTAAAAGACAATTAAGCCTATTTTATAATCTTTTAAATCTTATTTTAGGGTATTTTAGGAAATAAGAAGCAGACACACATTTATAAATGAAATATAATGTGGCAACCAACACTAGATCTCTGGATACCAAGCCATTCAATTCTATTGCCGAGTCCAAACCGACAATGGTTTCAAACTCGTCAGACCCTGTGAATGAAATATGGTACTAATATATACAAACACCACAGTTTAAGTGATTTGTATCAATATATACACCTCCTTCAATGCATAAAAGAAATGATTTACAGGTAGACGAAGGACCTTATTTCGCCGCTGATAAATGAACAACAGAATTCGGAAGTGGAGGGAAGAGGTTTAACCGCTTTGAATGAAAACGTAAAATATTTGGCTGAAATCAGTTTCTTCATCTTTGCAGGAAACCCAGATCACGGTCATGAACTAAAGCTTTTATAAGCAGGAATATAAGCATTGAAAGCACATGAAGCTTAAAGGCCATTAGTGCAAGAATTCCCCAACATGGATACATTCAATATCATGGCCTGGAAATAATAAAGCAAAAATGCATGCTGAAGCATATTAAAGCACAAGCCGTGTGATTTGAATAAGTGTCTATTTTTGTTGGTATCCTTTCCTGTCCTTGCTTAAAGGGATAGTTCACCCAAAAATGAAAATTTGATGTTTATCTGCTTACCCCGAGGGCATCCAAGATGTAGGTGACTTTGTTTCTTCAGTAGAACACAAATTATGATTGTTTTACTTTAACCGTTGCAGTCTATCAGTCGTATAATGGATGGCAATGGTAACAAAATCTATGAGTGTAAAAAAAACATGCACAGACAAATCCAAATTAAACCCTGCGGCTCGTGACGACACATTGATGTCCTAAGAAACGAAACAAAAGGTTTGTGCCAGAAACCGAACAGTATTTATATAACTTTGTACCTCTAATACACCACTATGTCCAACTGTCTTTGAGCATGCGCACGACATCCGGTGTGTGAGGCGTGTACGTGCTCTGGCGTAGTTTTAAGTTAAAAATTAGTTAAAATTAAAAATCATCATATGTGTTCTACTGAATAAACAAAGTCACCTACATCTTGGATGCCCTGGGGGTAAGCAGATAAACATCACATTTTCATTTTTGGGTGAACTATCCCTTTAAGGGTGCAACCCATAGGAGACCGAGTTTTCTGCAAAGCTAAGGCAGAGTTTGTGTCATTCACAATCCTCTATTAAAATGATACAGCTATTTACAGTATGTATGGTTTCCAACAGCATTATGACATGAATTCAGATTATTAAAGCACAGCTTGAATGCACAAACACTAGAACCAAAGTCAACTTTAATGTCATTTTGTACAAAAGCATACAAATATAACAATAATACAAAAGCCAAATTAATGATGATGCACAGGGACTGTAACATTACAGCTCTATTACGCTTTTAATAGTAAACCATCACTTAAGAGAGTGAACTTTAGTGTGAAGGGGGACAAAATATGGGGGTTTATGCATTAAAGCCTTCGGCGTTAAGAATTAAGAAGCTAAAAATCCAGTTAAACAGCAATTTAGTCCTCAATTACGAGAAAAACTCTGGTTCATAATGCATCACGACTCAATCTAAGAAAAATTAAACCTAGAAATGGCGGAAACTGTGGCGATTATGGACGGTACTGAGCTTAAAATGTTTTAAAACCACAAAAGAGATGGACCGACTGTGAAGGAAGCTTATTTCAAAAATGTGTACCAAACACAGTGTTTAAAACCGATAATTCCCCTAAAACCGTCCATACGATGTCTGGTAACCCAATGATATACGAGCAAGGCATTCAGAGAATAACAGTGTAAAATAAAATTACATCTCTGATGTGGGTGAATCGTCAAAAACGTGAATTCGGTTCACATGTGACTTTCTGTACGGATGTTTTAAGCTAACAGAACGGTTTGTTATTATGGCACTACGAAAACACGAATCGAACGACTCATTCAAAGCTCAGACGAGACGCACCCAAACCACAGTGTCATAAACTGCATCGATAACAGCAGGTAAACAGCTTGACGTTTCAATGCAGCCATCGAGTCAATACAGACTCGCAGTCCAGAATCAAGTCGCCCTTAGATTTGCAATTTCGGATATTTATCGTCCATTTTCGAAGTCTTGTGGCTCAATTAAGACCAGTTCAAAAGCATCGGGCGGTGACGTGCGAGACTTTAACGATGGAGAACCCCTTCCCTTAACAAAATCAACCAACCAAATGACAGAAAAACACATTTATAACCCCTTACTGCAAAGAAAGATGTTCCCAGTGACATGAAGAAAAATCAAAAAGAAGCCCCATGATAAAATCAGACACACAAACCAAACACAAATTCTCTCACTCGGACGGGCAAAAAGGCACAGACACACATTCGTTCAATCGCTCTAACTTTGTCAAAACGCACAACGTCTTCCTAAAACATGGACGTCAAATATTGCGACACCATCCCTGCAAACGAAAGGAAAACAAAAAGCCAAACCTCCCGCACTCCAAAACATCAACAATAAATTAAAACATTTAGCTGGAAAGCAAAACCAAGTCTTTGAGATGTTAGTTGAAGAAAGCTGATTGGTGTCATCTGGCGCGCCGTGATGTCGGCGTTCGAAAGCGCACAGCAGGCAGGTTTGCTCAGAGAAGCAGGCGATGTTGTAGGACAAGCACAGTCAGGGAAAAATAAAAATAGAGTGTGTGTAGCAATTAAAACGGGGTCCCAATGTGGCCGTCGGTGGTACCACAAAAATGCACACACAGCACGAGTCTGAACACCCCGCCCCCCTCCGTCAAGTTTGCGTTTCCAACCCCAGTGTCCTTCCCCGGCCAAGAACGGAGAATGGCATGTGGGGCGCGATGGGCTTTTTGCCCTGCAGGGGGAGTTGAATGGCACTTCCCCTGCCCTGCACCCCCCTCTCTACCTGTCCTTCAACTCCTGCGTCACGCGCTTGGTGATGCGGCCGCACAGCAGACCCATGAGGAACAGCAGGACCACGCACATCGCCAGCATGCTCAGGATGTAGTTCTTGGCAGGAGACGTGAAAACCTGCCCGGCCAGATCCGAGAAACCTTCTGCTGGCGCCACCTATTGCCAACAGAGAAACAATATGAACTTGTGCTTGTAAAAATTCACCGATTCCATCACCAGCAACTTGCATTGCTCATACTTTATCAGCTTTACAAGTACACAAATGGCAACACTAAATATAGTTAATTTTAAACTACCGTATTGACCCGAATATAAGACGATGTTTTTTTCTTGGAAATACATCTGAAAAAATGTGGTCGTCTTATTTTCAGGGTCTAGACTTTGACATGTCAATAATACACCCACAACAATAGGTGGCGCCAAATACGCATAAAACGAGTGTGCCATGAAATACGTAATGTAATGCGTGTTGTAAAGATCGCGAGTAAAAACAAAAGAAAGAAAACCTTACAGCTGCATGAGTCGTGACTGTCACGTTGGGACCAAACTCCCTTTGTGATTTTAAAACTTAAGACAGTACCCAGATTTGAAGTCTACAGTAAGATTTAACTTCTACTGTTAATAAGATTTTGGTTGGCTACTATTAGATGGATAGCCTAAATGTCCTAATCCAGAGAGGCTACCCATTTGAACGAAAAGCAAGCAATCATATGGTTTTATTGAACAAAAGTAATAAAATACATAATGCATTATAAACAATAGAGCTAATGTACTTTACGCATAGTAACAAATGCTTGCAGAGGTGCCAACGGCCTGACGATTGTTTTTACACTTACTGCTATAAGGAGCTTTCTCAGGCTTATGTGCATTCACAGCGATCATGGGTACGAACCTGGTCTGCGTATTTGAGTTTGAGGCAGGAGATGACCTGCCCCTCCAGCTCGTTGTCGTCTTTGGCATTGTTTAGAATGCCCTGGCAGAACTTCGGTATGTCCGCTTTGCAAGCCTTCCTCAGCACAGGGTTCAGACGATAGTCTAGAATGGAGGGAAAAGCATCAAACTTTATTGATGGAAAGAGGTTTTTTGATTTATTTGCTGCTTTAGAACCTCAGGGACTTCACACGAATAGGGAACTCGTATCTCATTACTTTTTATAGCAATGATGACACACAAATGTAAATTGTAACACCCTCAAACGAAGTATGGTGGGAAGACATTACAATTTCATTGCGGTTTCTTGATTTTTACAGAACAAGTAGCACTCACTTCAATGGTCAAACGCAGCCATTCACACCTTTTATTGATGTTCTTGTAAGAAAAATGATGGAGCTAATATTTCCTTTTAATTTATTGTAAATACAATTTATTAATAACTACAAAACAGCATTTGGTCTCAAACGGTTTAGCCCCTGCTGAGAGAAAATTTAATTTAGGCAAAGCCTACAACCCTGTTGCAACTCCGTTACCCATTTTAGCTAAATTGAGTATCTCTGAAAATGATTTATATTGATTTAATGGTTATTAGTCGAAAATAAAATAAAGGTGTTACTGAAAAAATTATGCATGTGTGCATATTTATATATACATAAATATACAGATATTATGTAAAATTAAAAAAATATATTTTGGATGCGATTAATCACAATTAATCATTTTACTTTCATTTGAATTTTTTTGTGTAACAGGGTTGAAAAAAAATATTTTAAATGAACAACAAACCAACATTTCGTCTCAAACTAGTTTGGCCCTGCTAGAGAACATGTCATTTAGCAAAACTTACAATTCTGTTAATTGCAACTCTGTTACTCAATTCAGCAGTTTTTTTTAAATATTGAATTATTTCACATTTATTTAATGGTTATTAGTAGAACAAAAGTTACTATAAAATGTTTATTGCTAGGCTTTTAAATGGTATTAAGACCTTTTCCAAATTTTTGAAACAGGGTTGAAAAGAACAAAACAAAAAACAAATTAACAGTCTCAAACTAGTAAGTCCATACAATAAAAGCATATTTTAAGTAAAACCTACAACCCTGTTACTTAAACTCAGCTACCCATTTCAGAATAATTTAATATTTTTTAAAAGGTCCATTTTTTTATGTATTAAATTAATAGAAAATGAAAAAAAAAGGGTATTAGAAAAACGTTTGATATTAAAATGATTCATAGCTACATCATTACTGTTGTTGCTAGGTTTTTAAACAGTATTACGACATCTTAATTTTTAGTAACGGGGTTGAAAAAACAAAAAAACTATAGGCAAACCAGCTCATTAAATAATTACATAGTTTGTCCTGATGAGTTTAATACCTTTCGCTGTCCCTTCGTAGAAAGAAAACATTTGACACATATCTGCCTTGTTCATTGGTTCGCCACCTCTAATTCTAAAGATAAATATGAAAAAAAAAAAAGTGCGTCTAAAATGTAACTCACTCAATATTATCTTCTTGTTTGTTGAACTGCTGTATAAAATCAACACAACCTATGCAACCTAGGCATCGATAATAAGGAAAACAGCACTCTTACTTGTGTGATATTGCTTAACTACATATCTTCTAAACACAAACTAAAACCCATACAGGGATTTTTTTTTGCATTTATAACTGGAATTATGGGCATTTCAACTATATTCTAATAGGCTTCATCACACAGCGAATGCTTTTGGACTCAAGACGTATTTTTGTTAGTTTTTTTGCATATACATAATGTCAGCTCACACATCGTTAAAACAACAATTGCAATATTACTCTTGAGGACAACATAAAACTTGCATAAATGCAAAAAAACGCATAAAAGCAGTTATGAAACATTTGCTTTGTTTGACAGCCAGGCGCTCACTTCTTTTTGATGTTGGGGCACAGTTTGAGCACGTCCTCCTTGCACGCCATCTTGAACTTGTACGAGAAGCGAAAGTCCTTCATCTGGATCTGAGGATGAGGAGGAGAAATGGACGGTTGAGACACAACAGTAGTAACCATAGGAAGAGCGAGTGTGTATTCGTCAGACGTACCAGCTGGAAGTGTGTGACTCCGACGGTGCATTTCTCGTTCATTTCCTTCTGGTGCTTATTAGCAACGAGACACTCCATCAAGTCCCCTGTGTCTATCTGATTATCGGCCACCTCCTGCAAAACAAACAGAGGTTAAAAAAAAAAAAACGGGGCAAATGAAAAAACAAAACCAAGCTACTTAGTATATTTATTACAGTGATGAAAAAATGATTTGCGACTTACATGACAGTAGGACTGGATCACGGGTTCACAGGCTCGAATCAACAAGGCCTCAATCTGAATGTCCTGGAAAACCAGACACACCAAAATCAGTCCAAACCCAAACCCAGACGTCTCACGTCCAGCAGAGAACAATAGCACCCAAATATAGACACTGAGGTTTTTTAATTTCAGAGTCAAACTGCTGTAAAAATCACAAAAGGATTTTATTTTGTACCTCGGACTCCAATTCTGTGAGGTTTCCCACCACATCCCTGCAGCTAGTGACCAGTTCATCTAAATGATCCTGTAAGCACTCCAATTCCTGACAGACAAAAACACACACAAACACGGAGCAATGCTTCACTACAGAACTGGGAATTTCACTGCAAATTTTACATTCAAACGGTGTTTGCGTAACTGCCACTTTCCACAAATATGAAACATTTGTTGGCATCCCAAGACGTTTTGGAGAGAATTACAGGCACAAATCTCATGTTTTTAAAAAATCATTATCCAACATAAAATATAAAATAAACTTAGCATCACCAGTAGTCTCATTTTAGAAGCTGACCATCTTACGTGCAACAATTAAAACCTAATTGGCATTATATTACCGTTGTAATACTTCACCCATTTTGTGTTCAATCCTGTTACCACATAACATTCCTAACATTTCTTAAAATTGTGACACACAGGAAGTAACATTACTGGAATCTTCATGAAACACTGCAAAAAAGCATTCAATTTTATCAAGCTTTACAAATACTGTAGTGCTGACAGCATTCACACAATCATTCAACCCTGTTACCACAGTAATTTTTTTTAAAAATGACAAAACCTAACTTTAAGTAACAGGGTTGCAAAAATTGTATACATAAAATAAAAAAAACAAAACAACAAAAAACGGCTCTGTCCCTTTGTAAGAAGAAGAAAAAAAGGATTTAATTGCATACTATCTATGAAAGGTGACAGAGTTGTTTTCGAATCACTGAGATCCTATTATAATTTTTATATGGAAATAGTATTTATTTATTAATTTCTTTTTATATTGTACTTGCATTTTTTATGTAATTAATTTTAATGTAATATAATTTAGTAATTGTATTGTGCATTTTTGTAGTTATTTTTTATATCCATTTTAACATCAAGTCCTACATTGTAGTAACAGGGTTGCAAAGAATGTAATCCTCATAATATGAACAGAAAACAAGACCACTTTCCTTTAAGAAGGAAAAAAGGATTTCATTGCACCTAACCCATGGAAAATGACAGTTATAATTAGTGTCATACTGACCTGTCCAGCTTCAGTCTTCTCACTGCACCACTTCCCAAGGTCTGTCATGCATCGCTGCTGCAGCTCCGGATCCAGTTTCACATCCAGGGCCCTCTGGTGGAGGATCCTCTGAACCTCCGTTTTACAGTCCCGAGATAACTACAGATCGACTCGCACACATTAGCACATACTTATACACACACACACACACACACACCTAAAGCATACAAACAGACCCACAACCAATCAATCAGACCCGTACACACAGTTCTGGATCCTTCTACAAACAGCGATCTGGGTGCACGGGTCTGACGGGTGTCATGAATTTTGATACCATTACCATAAACATTACACAAGAATTATTAGATTTGATTATTTTTAGATTAGTCTGTAAACAAACTCCCAAGACCCACATCATTCGAGTTAATTTCCTGTCAATCACTTCTCATTTAAAGCCCACAACATGAATTAATGTGATTTCAGTCTCGGCAAAGGAAGATGATTTTGATTTGTCCCTGCTAATTTGCTGTGAACATGCATCTGTAGCTTCATCACATTTACTCTTAGAGTGAACATCACCAGACCTGTCAAGAACATAACCGAGTCATATTTCACAACAAAAACCAACTAAGAAAAATATGTATGTTTTGCTTGAACACCATTTTGAGACCATTAAGATTTTCTGCACCGTGACATTAATTTATGATGATTTTAATAAAGTACAATAAAGTACTTGTATGATGTATAAATAAAACACAAATAAATAAAATGTACAGTGCCCTCCACTAATATTGGTAAATATGAGCAAAGGCGGCTGTGAAAATAAATCTGCATCATTTATCCTTTTGATATTTCAGTCAAAAAAAAATATTATATTAAAGCACAATATTCTATCCTTTCATTGAAATAAAACAATGGAAACAGTGGGGGGGAAATCTCATTATGAAATAAATGTTTTTCTCTAGTTCATGTTGGCCACAATTATTGCAACGTCCTTTTGCCAAGATAACAGCTCTGAGTTTTCTTCTATAATGCCGGATGAGTTTGGAGAACACCTGACAAGAGATCAGAGAGCATTCCTTCATCCAGAATCTCTCCAGACTCTTCAGATTCCCAGCTCCATGATGGTGCTTCTCCTCTTCAGTTCACCACACTCATTTTCTATAGGGTTCAGCTCAGGGGACAGGGACGGCCATGACAGAACCTTCATTTTGTGCTCAATGACACATTTCTGTGTTGATTTTAATGTTTGTTTTGGATCATTGTCCTGATGGAAGATCCAACCACGGCCTATTATAAGATTTCTAACAGAGGCAGTTTTTCCACTGCATGGTACGACTCGACACGGCTCGGCTCGCTTTTCCACTGCAGATAGTACCGATTATAGACTAGCTGTGCCGCTGGTTTGGTGCCTTGTGTCGCAAATCCAATGACGCTGCTGGCGATTCTCTCTGACCAATCAGTGATCGGCAGTGTTAACACGTCACATTTTAATATCGGTACGGCTCAACCGAGGTGGTACTACTTAAGCAAAGCCGTACCATTCAGTGGAAAAGTGCCATATGATGCCATGTATCTGAACAAGATGTCCAGGACCTGCGGCAGAAAAACAGGCCCACGACATTAAAGATCGAGTAGTATATTTAACCGTGGACATGAGCTACTTTTTATCCCCGTCTGCACCAAATCTGGTGGGTTTGCTGCCAAAAAGCAATTTTTTAAGTTTCATTTGACCATAGAAGCCAGTCCCGTTCAAAGTTCCAGTCGTGCCTGACAACAGAATATGCTGGAGTTTTTTGTTTTTTTTAGGAGAGTCTTTGGCCACTCAAACGCTCCTCCTCACCCTGCATTAGGAGGACGATACAGACACGCGTCCTCTCCCAGACAGATTTACAACATCTTTAGTTGACTGGAACTTATTAAAGGGGTCATATGATGCGATTTCAAGTTTTCCTTTCTCTTTGGAGTGTTACAAGCTGATTGTGCGTAGATAAGATCCCTGAAGTTGCAAAGACTAAAGTCTCAAAACCAAAGAGATATTCTTTATAAAAGTTAAGACTCTGCCACGCCCCCCTAAAACGGCTCGTTCTAACACGCCCCCACATATCTACCTCACTATGTGGAAATATTTGCATAATGCCGCCCAAATGTGCACGCAAAGAAAGAAGGCGTGGTTTCAGTAACCGCAGTTAGTGTTGAAGCAGCATGTCAGGGAGACGCTGTGTGTTTCTAGGTGAAAGCAAGAGCACTTTATTTGGCCTTCCGAAAGTAGATGCATTTAGGAATCTTTAAGATTACTTACAACAGAACAGCAATGCATTTTATGGACGACCGTTTCGTGAACCTAGGAGAGGAGGTAATTCTGACTTTGCTATGACGATCTGGCGCTTCTGAATCAGCTACTGTTTTGTTATTAGTTTAAGTATTTGCTATTGACTGTTCAAATGCGTTTTGCGCATCGTGTGTGTGTGTGTGTGTGTGTGTGAGCGAGAGACAGAGAGAGAGAGCGGTGTGTGTGTGTGTGTGTGTGTGCGCGCGAGCGAGAGAGAGAGGTGTGTGTGTGCGTGCGAGAGAGAGAGAGGTGTGTGTGTGTGTGTGTGTGTGCCAGAGAGAGAGAGCGAGAGAGAGCAGACACATCACAGTGGAGTCAGCTGTCTTAACCGTGGCTTGTGTACTGCACACACATATTCATCACTGTGTCTGTCATGAGACTCTGTTCCCCTTTCGGGCTGTCTTTACATTTATTTTGAAAGCTGAAGCTCGCGATTATGGTAAGGGCGGTTACATTTCCGACGAGTGCTTGCGGTGTTCGGCCAATCACAATGCACTGGGTCAGCTGGCCAATCAGAAGAGACTGGCTTGTCGGAAGAAGGGACTTTGTAGAAAACCAAGCGTTTGAGAGAGGCGGGGCATAGAGGACTTACAATAATGTACAGTATTTGAAAAAGAATGTGTTTTTTGAACATTAAAGCATGTCAACATATTCTGTTACACCAAATAATGATCTTTAAAAAAAGCATCATATGACCCCTTTAATTATTGCCCTGATGGTGGAAATGGGGATTTGAAATGCTCTAACTCTTTTCTTACAGCCACTTTCTGTTTTGTGAAGCTCAACAGTTTGGTTCTGCACATCAGAACTATTCTTTGGTTTTACTCCTTGTGATGGATGATTAAGGGAATTTGTCCTTTGTGTTCCTCATATTTATAATCCTGTGGAACAGGAAGCCATGGCTGGAGAGTTTCATGCTCCTAGTCACCCTGGTGTGCTCAATGTACTGAAATACTTCAGCGATATTTTACTCATAAAAATGTCTAGGGGTGCCAATAATTGTGGCCAACATGCATTGGAGAAAAACATTTATTTCATAATGAGATTTTCCCCCCACTTTCAATTGTTTTGCTTCAATGATAGGTTAGAATATTGTGAATTTTTTGAATGAAAGATCAAAAAGATAAACAATGCAGAATTATTTTCACAGCTGCCTTTGCTCATATTTACCAAGGGTACCAATATTATTGGAGGACACAGTATATAATTTGACTTGTGAATTATTGAATATATATATATATATTATATTTTTTGCATTTTCTTCCTGAATTATAGCAATGAGAATTGAGGGAGGTAACTTAATGTACAATAAAATAATGCAACAATGCATAAAATGTTAATAGTAAAAACGGGTTAAATTGTTTGTATGCTAAATCATTTATTTGTCCATGTTTCTGAGGTGAAATGCAGCAGAGTCATGCTTTGGACAGGTTTGTGAGATTCTCCTCCTTAAGGAACCAGAGGATACTTACATTTGACCTCTCGTCCGAACTTACATCAGAAGTTTCTGATGAACCCTAGTTACATTTAGGAAGCCACAGATAAGCTATGGTTTCTCAATGTCCTATTTTCTGAAAACTCACAATGCAGAGGTTAATGTCTAGAGTGTAACATGAGGGTGTTCAGTGAGTGTTAGTCGTACCCGTCGTCCCTGCATCTCGGTGCGGTAAGCGTGCCGGTACAGACAGGAGAAAACGGCTCCGGGCGGCATGAACTCGCTGGTCTCGTTCCAGCCGTGAGTGTGACAGATGCGGGACGCATCGTTCTGACACTTTTTGTACAGGATAGGGTCCAGTCTGTAACCAGAACCACAGGGAAATGTTTGAACATGAACTCACATTTGACCTCGTCAGATATATGAACAGGAACTTTCAAAGCTGTTTGTTGACAATGTCTCGGTTAAAGAGATTTAAAGGAACAAATCTCAGGTTTTTAAGATCATTATGTGACAAAATTAACCTGGCTGTGACGGTAGTTTTGACCTGCTCAAAAAACAACAACAAAAAAACAACAGGCTGTCTACAGATATATACAAGTTAAATTTAAATTTTAATACCACCTTATGTGAAATTTAAGAACAAACTTATGATGGAAATACACATTATATTACATACGTATATGTAATATTTAATATGTTTAACGTAAAAATAAAATATCATCGCTGTCAAAAATGTTATTTATCATTACGATATACAGTGAACTTTTCATATCAGCAGATAATATTCCATTCAAAATATCCCCACAAAAGCACCGCATCCATATTTTCAATCAGTCTTCTAACAGCTTTTACATTCTTAAACCTGCATGTTTTTAATATTTACCCCAGGATGTTATTTACCTTTATAGAGGCCAATATTTTTTTACCTTATTAAATGTATGCGTCATCTTTCCTGGCAAAATTATTATAATTGATCAAGAAATTCAATATACACTACAGGGCTGTTACCAATCAAATTAAATAATTTACAATGCAAACATTACAACTGCAGTAAATAATGTTATGAGATTAATGTTTTAAATAAAACTGAATATACAACTAAGAAATGTTGGGGGAAAATGCATACTTTTAAACATGAGACTAAACTGCCAGTAGGTGGCGGTAAATCACTTATTCCTTCAACAGATTCGTTCAAATCGCTGAATCATTCAGTAACAAAACGGCGAGTGTTGATCGGAGAATGTGCAATACTTCTGTTCTGAGCTTTGGAACAATTTTTTATTGGTGAAATAGAACAAAACAGTCGATTGTGCCTAAAATGAAAGTTTAACCACTTGTTTGTTGAACTAAAGTCAATGTAACATTTGCAAGTGTCAAAATATTCAGCAAAACAGCCCCTTTGTCATGTTTGTATGTTACTTAACTACATCGTGTTGTCAATAAACGAAACATTTTTGCACTTTCACCTCAGTATGTTTGTTCTGTGGGTTTCTTTATGTGTGCTGTTACGCTCATTTGATTTGATTTCTCCACGAAAGTCTGTCACAGAGAGAGGCAGCACGAGCCTCAACAGCGCCACACTGATAGCAGTAAACAACAATCGCTGTTTAAGCTGAATGTAATCAAATCAAAACAATCATTCTCACGTTTTGATGCATCACTAGTTATTTATTGTCACTAAAGTTTTAATCAGGCTATTTGTCCTGTCGGGCAAGTAAAATTCTCGAGCCATTTTTCAGTAAACTTGCATTAACCTGTTTACAGTAGCTAGGAGGCTGTGGAGCGAGCTGCTGTTCCACCTGTACTCTGCTTCCGCTGGTGAAGCGGTAACTACAGTGGGGGAGAAATCTTCAGTCTGTCCAGTGATTGTAAACTGGTTACAGCAAAACATTGTCTCTGGGTCCATCAGACTGGAGACATTTTTGCGGTAATGTGACCAAAAATATTTAAGACTCACTGAATCTGAATTTAAGACATTAAGATTTTTAAGGACTTTTTTTTTAGGAAAAAATAATTTAAGACATTTTAATACTTAAGGACCCACGGCCACCCTGAAAAAAGAAAGAAAATAAAAAAAACACACCAAACAAACAAAAAACAAATAAAAACTAAACAAAAACAAAGGGAAAAAAATTTAATAAATAAAAACAAAGAAAACAACAACAAAAAAACCCCACTAAAAACAAATGATAAAAACAAAAACCAAATGATAATAAAAACCAAAATCAACTACAAAAAAACCCCACTAAAAACAAATGACAATAAAAAACAAACAACAACAAAAAACCACTAAAAACAAATGATAAAAACAAAAACCAAATGATAATAAAAACCAAAATCAACTACAAAAAAACCCCACTAAAAACAAATGACAATAAAAAACAAACAACAAAAAAAAACACTAAAAACAAATGATAAAAACAAAAAACAAATGATAATAAAACCCAAAAAACAACTACCAAAAAAAACACACTAAAAACAAATGACAATAAAAAACAAACAACAACAAAAAAAAAAACACTAAAAACAAATGATAAAAACAAAAACCAAATGATAATAAAAACCAAAATCAACTACAAAAAAACCCCACTAAAAACAAATGACAATAATAATAATAAAAAATAAAAAAAACTTTATATTAGCATCGTAATATTTAGCCGCGTCTCATTTCGTGTTCAATCCTGTCACCACATGATTTCTCTTTTACAAAGTAACATTCTTTTAAATAGCGACACACAAGTAGCTCTACTGCATTCTTTCTGAAAAGAAAGCACCCGAAGAGTATCATTCAAAAGGTATATAAATGGGATTAAAAGTGGGATTCAAATCAAAAGTGTGGAATAAAACCTAAACTCTTGAGGTTTGTGACTCACTTCCAGTCTCTGGAGATGAAGTACTGCAGCTCTAGCAATCTGTGTTCACAGTCTTCAACCATCTTATCAGTGTACAGATGCTCCATCAGACAAGACAGGATCCTACACACACACACACACACCAAAAATATATTATACACCACCTTCAGAGCTTCTACTCGAATATGAACTGACAGAAACAAGGTCAAATGTAAAGATCGATCAGCATACTGGAAAGTTTATGGCAGAACAGGTTTGGTCAGAGCTATTATTGCAGTGTCATATGCAGTGCCTCAAGCACATGCAAAACATCTCTAATATTTGTTCAATTTCAAAGAATGAAAAAAAAACCCCATCATGTTTGAAATGAAAAGGATGAGTAAATGATGACTAAGCAAACTTATTCCTGGAGCATTTCATGTTTACCAGCAGAAATGCTTTCTAGCTGGAGCTCTGGGCCTAATATTTCACACACAAGAGCACTCACATGGGGTCTCCGTTTCGGATGTGTTTGCAGGCGGTCTGGATGACGGACTCGCAGGCCTCATTCAGAGCGCGATCAATGCGATAGTCAGCCCCGGGGTCTGTTTCCTGTATCAGTGTCTGGAGCTGATGGGACACAGACAGTTATGAAAGCCATAATCAGAGTCATTCATCACAGCCGCTGCATTATTTAACATGAATGAATATCTCACGACTTTATTCACGAGTTAAATCAATTCGACCTCAGTTCATTAATCACAGGAAGTACTGGAACACAATGAATGCACACAATTATCTTGATATTTTTCAGCCTCTTGGTGATATTTTGAATATCTTCATATTTATGCATTTCTTTTTTTATCAGAATAATCAATATTTTGACTAAACAGCCAGAGAAAAGGGTATTCAAAATGTTAAATTCTTTCTCTTTCTTTCTTTCTATCTAAAAACTAAAATCAAAACAAAAACAAAACAAAAAGCAAACACTAAAAAGAAAAACAAAAATATCAATATACTAATAAAAAAACTAAATCACAAAAACAAAGAAAACACAAAAAACCTTCACAAAAATCAATAGATATGGATATCCATCTAAAAAATAAAAAAAAAAACTAAAAAAATTTAAGACAAAAATCAACACAAATACCCCCTAATTTACAAAAAAATTAAAAATTTAAAATAAAAATAAAAAAACAAAAAGACACTAGATACAGCGATATCGGAGAGAGATAGCGGTGTGTGTTTTTGTGTGTGTGTGCGCGCGAGCGAGAGAGAGAGGTGTGTGTGTGCGTGCGAGAGAGAGAGAGGTGTGTGTGTGTGTGTGTGTGTGCCAGAGAGAGAGAGCGAGAGAGAGCAGACACATCACAGTGGAGTCAGCTGTCTTAACCGTGGCTTGTGTACTGCACACACATATTCATCACTGTGTCTGTCATGAGACTCTGTTCCCCTTTCGGGCTGTCTTTACATTTATTTTGAAAGCTGAAGCTCGCGATTATGGTAAGGGCGGTTACATTTCCGACGAGTGCTTGCGGTGTTCGGCCAATCACAATGCACTGGGTCAGCTGGCCAATCAGAAGAGACTGGCTTGTCGGAAGAAGGGACTTTGTAGAAAACCAAGCGTTTGAGAGAGGCGGGGCATAGAGGACTTACAATAATGTACAGTATTTGAAAAAGAATGTGTTTTTTGAACATTAAAGCATGTCAACATATTCTGTTACACCAAATAATGATCTTTAAAAAAAGCATCATATGACCCCTTTAATTATTGCCCTGATGGTGGAAATGGGGATTTGAAATGCTCTAACTCTTTTCTTACAGCCACTTTCTGTTTTGTGAAGCTCAACAGTTTGGTTCTGCACATCAGAACTATTCTTTGGTTTTACTCCTTGTGATGGATGATTAAGGGAATTTGTCCTTTGTGTTCCTCATATTTATAATCCTGTGGAACAGGAAGCCATGGCTGGAGAGTTTCATGCTCCTAGTCACCCTGGTGTGCTCAATGTACTGAAATACTTCAGCGATATTTTACTCATAAAAATGTCTAGGGGTGCCAATAATTGTGGCCAACATGCATTGGAGAAAAACATTTATTTCATAATGAGATTTTCCCCCCACTTTCAATTGTTTTGCTTCAATGATAGGTTAGAATATTGTGAATTTTTTGAATGAAAGATCAAAAAGATAAACAATGCAGAATTATTTTCACAGCTGCCTTTGCTCATATTTACCAAGGGTACCAATATTATTGGAGGACACAGTATATAATTTGACTTGTGAATTATTGAATATATATATATATATTATATTTTTTGCATTTTCTTCCTGAATTATAGCAATGAGAATTGAGGGAGGTAACTTAATGTACAATAAAATAATGCAACAATGCATAAAATGTTAATAGTAAAAACGGGTTAAATTGTTTGTATGCTAAATCATTTATTTGTCCATGTTTCTGAGGTGAAATGCAGCAGAGTCATGCTTTGGACAGGTTTGTGAGATTCTCCTCCTTAAGGAACCAGAGGATACTTACATTTGACCTCTCGTCCGAACTTACATCAGAAGTTTCTGATGAACCCTAGTTACATTTAGGAAGCCACAGATAAGCTATGGTTTCTCAATGTCCTATTTTCTGAAAACTCACAATGCAGAGGTTAATGTCTAGAGTGTAACATGAGGGTGTTCAGTGAGTGTTAGTCGTACCCGTCGTCCCTGCATCTCGGTGCGGTAAGCGTGCCGGTACAGACAGGAGAAAACGGCTCCGGGCGGCATGAACTCGCTGGTCTCGTTCCAGCCGTGAGTGTGACAGATGCGGGACGCATCGTTCTGACACTTTTTGTACAGGATAGGGTCCAGTCTGTAACCAGAACCACAGGGAAATGTTTGAACATGAACTCACATTTGACCTCGTCAGATATATGAACAGGAACTTTCAAAGCTGTTTGTTGACAATGTCTCGGTTAAAGAGATTTAAAGGAACAAATCTCAGGTTTTTAAGATCATTATGTGACAAAATTAACCTGGCTGTGACGGTAGTTTTGACCTGCTCAAAAAACAACAACAAAAAAACAACAGGCTGTCTACAGATATATACAAGTTAAATTTAAATTTTAATACCACCTTATGTGAAATTTAAGAACAAACTTATGATGGAAATACACATTATATTACATACGTATATGTAATATTTAATATGTTTAACGTAAAAATAAAATATCATCGCTGTCAAAAATGTTATTTATCATTACGATATACAGTGAACTTTTCATATCAGCAGATAATATTCCATTCAAAATATCCCCACAAAAGCACCGCATCCATATTTTCAATCAGTCTTCTAACAGCTTTTACATTCTTAAACCTGCATGTTTTTAATATTTACCCCAGGATGTTATTTACCTTTATAGAGGCCAATATTTTTTTACCTTATTAAATGTATGCGTCATCTTTCCTGGCAAAATTATTATAATTGATCAAGAAATTCAATATACACTACAGGGCTGTTACCAATCAAATTAAATAATTTACAATGCAAACATTACAACTGCAGTAAATAATGTTATGAGATTAATGTTTTAAATAAAACTGAATATACAACTAAGAAATGTTGGGGGAAAATGCATACTTTTAAACATGAGACTAAACTGCCAGTAGGTGGCGGTAAATCACTTATTCCTTCAACAGATTCGTTCAAATCGCTGAATCATTCAGTAACAAAACGGCGAGTGTTGATCGGAGAATGTGCAATACTTCTGTTCTGAGCTTTGGAACAATTTTTTATTGGTGAAATAGAACAAAACAGTCGATTGTGCCTAAAATGAAAGTTTAACCACTTGTTTGTTGAACTAAAGTCAATGTAACATTTGCAAGTGTCAAAATATTCAGCAAAACAGCCCCTTTGTCATGTTTGTATGTTACTTAACTACATCGTGTTGTCAATAAACGAAACATTTTTGCACTTTCACCTCAGTATGTTTGTTCTGTGGGTTTCTTTATGTGTGCTGTTACGCTCATTTGATTTGATTTCTCCACGAAAGTCTGTCACAGAGAGAGGCAGCACGAGCCTCAACAGCGCCACACTGATAGCAGAATCGCTGTATCGCTGTTTAAGCTGAATGTAATCAAATCAAAACAATCATTCTCACGTTTTGATGCATCACTAGTTATTCTAAAGTTTTAAAGTTTTAATCAGGCTATTTGTCCTGTCGGGCAAGTAAAATTCTCGAGCCATTTTTCAGTAAACTTGCATTAACCTGTTTACAGTAGCTAGGAGGCTGTGGAGCGAGCTGCTGTTCCACCTGTACTCTGCTTCCGCTGGTGAAGCGGTAACTACAGTGGGGGAGAAATCTTCAGTCTGTCCAGTGATTGTAAACTGGTTACAGCAAAACATTGTCTCTGGGTCCATCAGACTGGAGACATTTTTGCGGTAATGTGACCAAAAATATTTAAGACTCACTGAATCTGAATTTAAGACATTAAGATTTTTAAGGACTTTTTTTTTAGGAAAAAATAATTTAAGACATTTTAATACTTAAGGACCCACGGCCACCCTGAAAAAAGAAAGAAAATAAAAAAAACACACCAAACAAACAAAAAACAAATAAAAACTAAACAAAAACAAAGGGAAAAAAATTTAATAAATAAAAACAAAGAAAACAACAACAAAAAAACCCCACTAAAAACAAATGATAAAAACAAAAACCAAATGATAATAAAAACCAAAATCAACTACAAAAAAACCCCACTAAAAACAAATGACAATAAAAAACAAACAACAACAAAAAAACACTAAAAACAAATGATAAAAACAAAAACCAAATGATAATAAAAACCAAAATCAACTACAAAAAAACCCCACTAAAAACAAATGACAATAAAAAACAAACAACAAAAAAAAACACTAAAAACAAATGATAAAAACAAAAAACAAATGATAATAAAACCCAAAAAACAACTACCAAAAAAAACACACTAAAAACAAATAAGAATAAAAAACAAACAACAACAAAAAAAAAAACACTAAAAACAAATGATAAAAACAAAAACCAAATGATAATAAAAACCAAAATCAACTACAAAAAAACCCCACTAAAAACAAATGACAATAAAAAACAAACAACAAAAAAAAACACTAAAAACAAATGATAAAAACAAAAAACAAATGATAATAAAACCCAAAAAACAACTACCAAAAAAAACACACTAAAAACAAATGACAATAAAAAACAAACAACAACAAATGAAAGCCATAATCAGAGTCATTCATCACAGCCGCTGCATTATTTAACATGAATGAATATCTCACGACTTTATTCACGAGTTAAATCAATTCGACCTCAGTTCATTAATCACAGGAAGTACTGGAACACAATGAATGCACACAATTATCTTGATATTTTTCAGCCTCTTGGTGATATTTTGAATATCTTCATATTTATGCATTTCTTTTTTTATCAGAATAATCAATATTTTGACTAAACAGCCAGAGAAAAGGGTATTCAAAATGTTAAATTCTTTCTCTTTCTTTCTTTCTATCTAAAAACTAAAATCAAAACAAAAACAAAACAAAAAGCAAACACTAAAAAGAAAAACAAAAATATCAATATACTAATAAAAAAACTAAATCACAAAAACAAAGAAAACACAAAAAACCTTCACAAAAATCAATAGATATGGATATCCATCTAAAAAAAAAAAAAAAAAACTAAAAAAATTTAAGACAAAAATCAACACAAATACCCCCTAATTTACAAAAAAATTAAAAATTTAAAATAAAAATAAAAAAACAAAAAGACACTAGATACAGCGATATCGATCTAAAAACTAAAACCAAAACAAAACTAAAACAAAAAACAAACAAAAAATAATTCTAAATACTAAAAACAAAACACTAATTACTAAAAACTAAATCTCAAAATCAAAAAATAAATAAATAAATACAAACAAACATATACAAAAATCAACAGATATAGATATATATTAACAAAAACAAAAAGAATAAAAAAAAATTAAACTGAAAAATCAAAATCAAACAAATACTAAAATACTAAATATTTAGAGCGATATAGATAGATGGATAGATAGAAAGAGCGATATCTATCTCTCTAATGAAAAAAAAAAAACATGAAAAAAAAAAAAACATTTTGTATTGTAATTTTACCAAGTCGTTAATATAGTTTGTTTTGACACGATCAGGGAAAATATTGTTTCTGTTCATCAGCCAAATGGCCACAGTTATACCAAAATATATCCCCCCAAAAATAACGCCAGCTAGCAGGCATTAATTGGCCTGGACAACATATCGACCCATTGCTAATACTGAATGTATCAGTGTTATTCACGATATCGACCGGACCAACCAGCAAGTGAGCGTATCAAAGTGCATTAAAACTCACAGCTTTCTGGCAGTGGCCTTCCAAGATGCCCTTGTCCCGGGACACCCTCATGAGGCAGTGCAGGGTTCGACCCTTGTGGTGCAGGCCAGAGCAGTGCGTGTCAATCTCCCCTCTGCAATGCAGCACGATCTCGGGACTGAGCGAGTAATCTTCCATCAGCATGCGCCTGTAGTCCAGCATCTCTCCCTGACACTCGCCGCTCACAGTTTGACCTGCGGAGCAAGAACCAAAACATGTGGAAAACAAAACTGTAGGGGGCAGAGCCTGTGTCCGTCCACATCGCATCAGAAGCCTCACCTCGGTGCACGGCTGCCTCCAGACACAGCAGCAGGTACGAGAGCTTGGCCTCTCTGGCTCGAGGCATGGCCGTGTCCATGTTGCAGCGGTATTTCCGCAGGTCCGGTTTGCAGGCTTTAGCCAGTGAGTAGCTGACCTTGTAGTCCTGAGCGATCAGCTTCTGACGAGTGGAAAGAGCGTCCTTGCACTGCGGAAAACACAGATACTTACGTTTAATTGGAGAAAAGTTTAATAATAAATAAATGTTTAAGCAATTTTTCATTTTAACAGCTAGGTAAATAAATAGACCAGAAGAAATTATGGATAAAAAATTTAAAAAAAAGGGAAAATAGATAAAAGACACGAGTCAGACTTGAACTCATATTTCTCACGAGCACCACAGCAAGTGTGCAACCATTTTAAAATGAAACATCGCAAACGTAGTAGAGCTGTCACAACATCAGATTTTCTCTACATGATTAATGCGCCAATTATCTAGAGAACATTTGACAAATAATACAAATAATTACTATAATGCTATCAGTCAAATTCATCTTGAATTCATCTTGAATGAATCAATTGATAATTGGCCAATAGTGTATGAGAATAAAAATTATTTAGTATGATTATTATTAACATGATAATATTTGATTTACAGTTATTGTCAATATTGCAACACCCCTAATGCCTAATTATATTTTAAAATAATATATTTTATTAATAAAATAATATACATTTTAATTAGTGCTGTCAAACGATTAATCGCATCCAAAATAAAAGTTTTTGTTTACATAATGTGTGTGTTTGTACTGGGTATATTTTTTATGTATATATAAACACACACGCACGCATGTATATATTTAAGAAAAAATGTTTTGTTTATATATAAAATATTAATATTTATAAATAATATAAATTATATTTGAATATATATATATATATATATATATACACACACATACATATACACACACACACAAACGTAAATATTTTAAAAATATGTATGTGTGTGTATTTATATATACATAATAAATATACACAGACCAAACACATTATGTAAACAAAAACTTATTTAGGATGCGATTAATCGTTTGACAGCACTAATTTGAACAATAATCATTGAAGATTGAATGTCTGGGTCAATGTTATTTTAGAATCATTTATAATGAATACGTTAATTATAAATTTATAAATTAGTACATTAATAATACTAAAATAGTAGTATTATTTGTATATTAATAACAAAAGCAGTAGTAGAATTTATCGATTGAAAAAGAAACACCATAATACATATTTATAATTTTGAATTAGCTTTTATTTTTATATTTCAGATTATTTTAATATTAGTTTAGTTCATTTTAAGTTAAGTTTAGGTTTTAGTAATTTTATGTCCTTTCTATTTCTATATAGCTCTATAAAAGTATTTTTTATTTCAGTTTTAGTAATTCTAGTACTTCAACAAACTTATTTCATTTAGCTGTTTTATTTCTCTTGTAAACTTTCTCTCTAATTTAATTTCAGCTTTGTTTCAATTACCGAAAAATGCCTTTCAATGGTTTTTGTTACCAATAACACCAGTCTGGGTCAAGGGTAAAACAACTAAATCTTTGCATAAAAGGCATTTGTAAAGGAAGAGGAAGACTGGGCTGTGGTTATGTGTGGATGTGTTATAACTAGTGTCAAGTGTGAACTATTCTGCCCATTTTCTCTGTACACCATCACTATAAGCCGTTCTCAGCAAACCAGACGTACTTTGTCCGACATGCTCTCCTCAAATTTGTGGTTGAACAGACATTTGTAGACCTTTCCTTCTCCTGCTGGAGTCTGAAACAAACAGAAAAGAGCACACCATTAGTAGCGGAAGTGCACAGTGAGCGTGTATTAGAGGATCACGGCTTACGTTTTCGCAGTAGCGTTCGCGGTCTTCCCGACAGGCGAAGTAGAGATGGCGGTCGAGGTGGAAGTCGTCGGAGGAGAGTTCGGCCACACGCATGATTGACTTCTTACAGTCCTCTTTGATGGTGATGGCCGGCTGCTCCTCGGCTTCACTCACCAGGCCTTTCTCCAGACACGCGATCACCTCGCCCTGAGAGTGGATGTCCTGTAGAGAACGGCCATGTGCGCTCAGGACAGAGAACAGGGCACAGAGTACTCTCATGGCAGTTTAACAAGCCGTCCTGGTCTCTAGAACTGCAGTTGTGAATCTCAGACCAGCTGATTGAAAGCTGAACCGGCTCAACTGAAGAACTAGCCAGCTGCCTTTGAATCAGTTGACGGCTCCCATAACAACAGAGCACTGTCTGTCAGGCTGATCAGAGCTACACGAACTTGGATCAAATGAATTTAATGGGAAAGTTCAGAGTCATTTTTTCCCCCTCATGCCGATACAAACCCGTAAGTCTTTTGCTCATCTTTTTTCTGTTCATCGTTCATGCTTGATGTGCGAGAACAAACCTCGTAGGTTTTTGTGCATCAAACAAGCAAGTTCGATCTTCTGTTGACCATATTTGATGTGCTTTATGTGCACGCTGCTGATCAACGTTTAAATGTGAATAAAAGCCTAAATTAAATCCGCTCAATTCATATGGATTATTTTTAGGTCTTTAAGAACTTTTTCAAGTGTAACAGTTACAGTGGAAAGGACTTGGAGTGACAAAGATCTCTCAGGTTTCATTAAAATATTGTGTTTCAAAGATGAACGAAAGTCTTATTGGTTTCTGACGACGAAGGAATTTATGGCAATTTTCATTTGTGGGTGAAGTATCCTTATTATAATGCTACAAGATATTGACATGCTTATTAATTGCCATTATGCCTTATAAATCAATAAATGACTGATGTTAAAAGTCGATATTATTTTGCCAAAAAAAAAAAAAAAAAGCAGTTATTTTAATTGCTTCAAAGTTAAATTAGGCATTGCAATATTGTAATGTACAGTATAAGAAATTGATATTCATTTTGAGTTAACAAATTTCATTTGTGTTATTAAATATCATTTTAATTAGGCTATATTGTAATACATTTAAACTTAAAATGAGTGTTAAATAATGGCAAAGGTAATCTAAATGTTAAAATAAATTAAATGAGCTTGCATAATTAAATATCCAGTAAAAAAAAAAAATAACTGAAACTGTCAGAACGGTTTTATGAAACCATTTCAAGAACAAGAGCAGAGTTGCACAGATGCTTAAAATGTCTAAAAAGCCTGTATTTGTTGCTTTAGTGTTCGCCTACAGTCCTGTATTTGACAATGATGTAACACAAACTTGCAGAGCTGCTAGAAATACTGGCGCTGTTATCAGAGAGCATCAGAAAGTAAACAGTGGTTTAAAAAAATAAGTGTTACATCCTTTTTCGAAGACTGTGGTCATACTGCTACTTTCAGTTACCCACAGTGCACCTGGGCTTACCTTGTCTCCAGTGTTGACGCTTCCACAGTGCAGTTTGTTGATGTCGTCCTTGCACTTGTCCATGAAGCCGCAAATCAGCCGGTAATCGCTGAAGACGATGCTGGTCATCTTGGTGATGTACTGGTTACACTGGTACTCTGAGATGTTGGTGCGGTGATCTACTAAACACGACACCAGGTAACCCTTCCCACGTTCCTCAGCGGCACACTCCTTAATCTGAAAAATTATTGTAAATGGTTTAGTGACTTTGTGGTCAAGTTTGAGATAAAAGCTTGTTTTGCTTTGCCGCCTCCATGCATACTTACCCCACTGATGGTGGTCTTGCACACCTCAACGGCGACAGACTCGAACTTTGGATCAGTCGTCAGATTGAACTTATAGTTCCATAGCAGCTAAAAATAAAACAGGACATTTTATTTGCTACAATAACATAACTTAGGCTAATCTTACAGTGCTGAATGAATTTTAATCAACTAAACTTTTTTTTTTTTTTTTTTTAAATATATATCTCCTGAGCAATAACAACACTAAAATAAAGTTTATATTTTTATTATGTAATATTTATTTTTATTATTTTAAATTATATAAATTAAAAAAATGTATAACTCAGTCATTAGACTAACTGAAAAAAAAATCTAAAATAAACCAAAAGATTAAATATTTCACATTATTTGAAAGTGACAATGTGTATATTTGTTAAAAATAATAATAATAATAATAATGATAAAATAAAACAAAACCCAAAACATTCACATGTATGGCTCAAGGATAGTTAAACTCATTTTTGGGTTGAAATTAGAGATCGACCGATATATCGATTTACCGATATTTTTACCGATATTTAAGCATTTTACCATAATGGGATATCGGTTTTGTAATATCGGATTCACCGATAAACGCCACCATCTTGTGGGTGTTTTGAAAATTGCGCGCAGGATCGCCATTGCAGCGCGTCTGAGGGGAGACGAGACAACAACAACGGCATGGTGCAGGTACTTGATTTGCTGTAGTTAGTAAACTTTATTTAACATAACAGCCATTTATGCACAAATTAGATGCATTACATAAATGCCTGATATGTAGTTTATGCAGCTTGGCTCTAAGAAATAGAGACCAACTCATGGAGTCACGTAAGATAATCCGTAAAGTCCTTTCCCAATAAAGACGTAACTTTGCATGAGTTAAATAATACAGCCATGAATAAGCGCATGTTGGAAATAAAAGCTCTGAATTTAATTCTCTGTCTGTTGTCTATGTTCATCATTAGTCTCGTGAAGCCGCTTTGATATTGCTGTTCACTCACTCGGGTTGACGCTCAGGGAATGCTCCAGCACGGCCACCGCATGTAACTTTTAACAAGATTAATTTGTTTAAAATACACTAAATTGTATTAACATTTACTATATAACCAATATTTCACTAATAAACATCTAAATAAATACAACTCTATGGAAATTAATGATTTATTATCTCCGCAAGCGATCGCAGTTTGAGTATAGTTCTGTGTAACTGCATAGATAAACTGCGCTGTCAGCAGGCATTTCATAATCTAAGGACAAAAACATTATTAATAATTCTGATATAACATTCCAGTTGAGAAATGCAATAAAATTATGTTTTGTTTGTTATATTCAAATATTCCAGAGAATATTATTCATTGAATTAACATTATCCAGTGAACTATTCTTGACTGAGTCTGTAGCTATTAAACAGCTTATAAACCTACTAAAACTGTAGTTTAAAATGAAGTTGATATGACTCCTGTCCTTTATTTATTTTCTCCATTTGAAAACATTAGACATTTATTTTTTCTTATTGTTAATATTAGTGTTGTTGCTGTTGATGCTTTTTATAAATAAAATGTTTTTTTATTGTTGTAGTATGAAGATTAAGTTTAACATGAACGACTGCAAATTTTCAACACATAAAAAACAAATAAAACAAAAAAAAAAAGACTGAAAAGAGGAAAAACCAAAGTTAAGTATGTTCTTACTTCACTTAGTCATTTATTTACTTTATAACAGTAAATAAATATCGGTTCTGCATATCGGTTATCGGGCACATAAACATGCAAATAATTGGTATCGTATCGTTATAAAAAATCAATATCGGTCGATCACTAGTTGAAATATCAACAAAATAACAAACTCCTGCTGTAGTATGGCTGGGTTTAACCATCAACTGTCATTCAGATCAACATCCAGGAACAAAAATAACAGAAATAGTGTGTAAACACTTACATGATTGCAGTCTGCAGCGATTTCAGTCTCCTGAAGAGAGATTAAGAGGAGTATAAATTATAAGTGTTCACACAGACAAAAGTAACAGGCAGGTTCAGAACTACATGATTTTCAAGACAGACTAGCCCTGTATAATTAGACAGGTTTCGGGTTCCCCAGGCCCCGATTTTTAAGGGGTGTTTAAAACATTTTCTTGTGTTCACAAACAGGTAGAACGAGCACAACAATATAACCGAACGCAGTGCCTCAAAGTGCATTTTTTAAATGTTTAACTTGACTACAATCCTTGTGGGACGCTCAAAATATTGTGCGACACACACTGCAGTGACCAAAAAAATGTCCGTCTGAATGTGTACGGCTGTAACACTGCTGCTTTAAAGAGGATAAAAGACCAAAGAGCCAAGAAACAGTTTTACAATGCAAACTAGGCTTAAGCTATGCTTAAAGAGATAGTTCACCCAAAAATGAAAATTAGCCCATGATTTACTCACCCTCAAGCCATCCAAGGTGTATATGACTTTATTCTTTCAGATGAATCCAATCAGAGTTACATTAAAAAATATCCTGGCTCTTCCCAGCTTCATAATGGCAGTGAATGGGTGTTACTATTCCAATAGTCCAAAAAAATAAAGTGCATCCATCCATCATAAAAAGTGCCTCACACGGCTCCGGGGGGTGAATAAAGGCTTCCTGAAGTGAATCGATGCGTTTTTGTAAGAAAAATATCCATATTTAAAACTTTATAAACCATAATCTCCGTAAGCGCAAGCGCAGCTGAGAGAGCAAAACAAAACACCGGTCACGAAGTAGAAGTGCAAAACGAGGGTTTGTAAAGAAAAATGTCGGAGGATTTGGATATAAGCCAAGAGGAGACTGGTTTTCCTTTGCTAAAGTAAGGAAACTTTGCTTCCTTTGCTCCTGTAAACAAATGTTGTTTTCACAAGACTAGCATATTCTCACCAGAGCTAACGCTACGCCTACATCATCCGTCGGAATGAACGAGCATACGACAGTTAGCAGAAACTAGAGATTACCATTTATAAAGTTTTAAATATGGGTATTTAGTTTTTTTTTACTAAAATTAACTATTCACTTCAGGAGGCCTTTATTCACCCCCAGAGCCGTGTGGGGCACCTTTTATGATGGATGGATGCACTTTAATGGACTTCTATCGGACTATTGAATAATAAAACCCATTCACTGCCATTATAAAGCTTGGAAGAGCCAAGACATTTTTCAATATAACTCCGATTGGATTTGTCTGAAAGAAGAAAGTCATATAACACTTAGGACGGCTAGAGGGGGAGTAAATCATGAGGTAACTTTCATTTTTGGTTGAACTATCCCTTTAAAAATGTCAACACTACAATAAGAAGACAAAAAATCTAGACCATTCGCAGTTGTTGGGCAACTGGTTTCCTAGTAAGCAATGTGTAAAATACTGACTGTTGCTAATGTTTGTAGGCGTGTGTTATATTTACTTTTTGCCTTTCGAAATGTATTTTCGTTAATTTGTGACACCAGGGAGAGGGGAGGTGAAAATTAAGACTAGATGCAAACAGAAATCAGCTTAGTCCTCGCTCTCTTCCTGCTGCACATCCCATGTGGACTGCTAATATTTATTAAGAGTTTTAGATGATGTCTCTATCTAATAATTAGCATGCTTGTTTAAACATTTGAGTAAGAAAATTCATAACAATAACCGGATTAAACTTCAAGCTCCTTTTTACACTTTAGATTACAAAGATTAAACAGAATGAAAAAATATCAACATACATCCATGAATACATGCCAAAAAAAACTTTAAATTTTTTAGCCTTTAAGTTTTTAGTAGTACCAAATTTCACATTATAAGCTGATGGATTGACATTATTTCACGCTGGGAGGATGTTTGTTCACACTCTCCAGGAGAATCAAATGTGTGCGGAGTAAATACTCTGAGTTTCAAATAACAAAGCACATTGTTTAAAGGGTTAGTTCACCCAAAAATGAAAATTCTGTCATTAATTACTCACCCTCATGTCGTTCTAAACCCGTAAGACCTTCGTTCATCTTCAGAACACAAATTAAAATATTTTTGATGAAATCCGAGAGCTTTCTGACCCTCCATAGACAGCAATGCAACTGAAACATACCCAGAAAGGTTGTAAGGATATTGTTAAAATAGTCCAAGATGAACGAAGGTATTAGGGGTTTGGAACGACATGAGGGTGAGTAATTACTGACAGAATTTTCATTTTTGCATGAACGATCCCTTTAAGACTAACATAACGAAACATGACCAACACGCTGGTAATATGCATGTCAAATAGAGCTGTGCAATTAATCAAAATACAGTTTCGATTTCGGCCTCCAACGATTATGGAAAAACAATAATCGAGATAAAACTATTATTACGCCCCATTCTACTCCCTTTCCCTCCTCCATAAAAGTCAGATTTCACGTGCAAATCAGTAAAATCATGTAACATGACTTGCAAAATGGGACGTGCTTGATTGATCAAAGTTTATTTGATTTATTCAGGTTTATGAAAGCGCGAGAGAACTTGCGCTGTTCCTCAGGAGGATTTCTGTGCATGCGCTCAGAGATGGAACAGAACACAGAACGTTTAGTTAGGTACGCGCTTAAACGGTCAAATACACGCAAAAAATGTGTCCAAATGCGGCGCTTGGTGATAATTCACATAAACCCTCATCGGTTATGTAATAAGTGAACGTAAACAGTTAAGAATGAAAATACGTGCGTAACAGTAAATTGGATCCGTGCGGCTCTTAAAGTGACAGCAGACTAATATTCCTGCTGCTGACTGTGTGCTTAATAGTAATCAACAAAAGACAAAATCACTCACTGCTCTTGACTGAAGGACTTGTGTAGCTTTAATAAGAAACAAAGGAAATGTAATTCTTACAGTGAAGACTATGCCGTTTTATTTTACATTCAATTATTACATTTCTGTTGAAGGCTGTTAACTGAATAGCCTGGGCTATGCTTGACTTTTTTGTTTCATTTGTATCTTTATTGTTTTTTACTAATATTAGTTACCCTAGTATTCTGCAGCCCTATTGAGAATTGTGAAATTTCGCTGGTCTCTAAAATGTAGCTAGATGTCATAGCAACCTTATTTACAGAACATTTTTATTTGATATAGGCTATATCATTATCTTTAAATAAATCACTCGTATAACGTTTTGGTCATGTGGCCCACTCATAATCATCGTGATTACAATATTGACCACAATAATCGTGATTATGATTTTTGCCATAACTGAGCAGCCCTAATGTCAAATTAAACATAGCTTTAATTTTGGTATAATTCACTTTAGGATACTCTCTTCCCTGTGCGATTCTTCAAACAGAAGGAACCAAAAGGTTAAGCTGTACAGCAATGTTTGGCATGACAAGAAGAACAAATATTTTACAACAGTCTCGTGATAGCCGATTGAGCAGTTAAGTTTGACAAATGTGTGACATTCACTGCAATCACTTAAGTGACAAACAAAGCACCATCTGAATAAAAACGAAAGTATTTGACAAATATGAGCATGCGGTAACATGAGGAATTAGACAGAAGGTCAATATCTGAATAAACTGAGAGAGTATGTCTTCAACATCGGATTTGGCAGCTTTAAAGAAAAATAGAGGCCTTTTAATTACATTTTATTCCTCCACTAATAAACTGCTCTTTGTGATGCGAAAACCTCAGCAGTCAAGAGCAATCAACATAACAGCAGGGTCTCCCTAACCGTGATGACTTGACACTGATCTTTATTTGAACAGCTGAGAACAAGCCCAGGCAGAAAGCATCCCCGGCATAGCACAGGACAGCTGTAAACGGCTGCTGTAAATATCAAGCGTGTAATTCTTGGTTCCCATGGAGCTGAAGGCCTTGATAAGTGTCACAATGTTACTAAAAACGGCATCCAAATCCAATCAAAGACACAGCAAACCATTTTGACCTCAGCCTGTGCTGAGAGCGTCGTATTAGCCTTTGATAGTTGTAACGGGGTTTATCAACTCTAAAAGGATTTAAAGCTACTGACAAATATATAGCTTCTCTGTGCAATTATGCTGCATCTGTCTATAATACACACACAATGCAAGTAAAAAATACAATATTACTCTTAAAACTCTGTATGATCATGAAGAGATATTAGGATAGAGTTTACAGACCAGAATCACTGCTTAGTGGACGCAACTTGTTGTCCCCTCAACATCATATAAATGGCCTGGTGACAAGATCTGTTCTCCAGCTGTGTCAGTATTTTATTTGAGAAAACAGCATTTCATAAAGCCACCAGGGTCTTTTATAAATAATGGAGGTAAACAAACCATCTCCATTCAGTCTTTATTTATGAGAAACAATAAGGAACACTGCACAGTAAATAATTGACCTTGCAGTACTCTCACTGACAGTGATATCTCCATAGGAAGATAAAGTCTAAAGTTCATTTACAGCCAGAGAAATAACCCGCAACTGTGACGAACAGCCAGAGAAATAACCCGGAACTGTGACGAACAGCCAGAGAAATAACCCGCAACTGTGACCAACAGCTGAGAAATAACCCGCAACTGTGACGAACAGCCTGGAAGTGAACGAATCCTTTAAGAGCCATTCAACAAAAGTAAAGGGGTTGTTCATGTAATCAGTAACTAAGAGCTTGGATGGCTCGAATTACACACCTATCTGAGCAAACACTGGCAATAAACATGACACTTCAGAAGCAATTATTACACAAGGACCTCAATGGTCATATTGCTTCCGTGTTTGTGATCATGCAACGATTCAAAAGTCGGTGCTGTTCCACCAAACAATGGCTAATCCTTGACTAACTAATAGCAGTGCTCACATATCCCATATTTGTTCAGAGAACCCTCGACAAACGAACACTGCACAACCAGTCAGTCAAGCCAAACAACAAAAGCATCCAGTCTCTGAAGCAGAAATCCAGTACACAAGCCATCCTCGTCCATGCCAACCATGAGAACTATACAGAAACCACAACAGTGCAGGTGACTTCACTGAGTGTGCTGGGGAACTCAGCTGACTCAGACAGCACATTTGGGCGTATCGGTGAGCTCCAAAGTAGGCAGCTCATTAGGGATTGAGACACAGCTATAAACAGGAAACACATTTTTTCACCATATTAATCGTGATGCTTATAAAAACTACCTGTATGTGGCATTCAGAAGCCTTTACTTGTCATACTGCTCCTGGTTTTTAAATATATATATATGTTCCTTATGAATCTATATGATGTTTAACTTCTGAATGTCGCGCAAATGCACAAAGACTCTGCGGATCCAGATGTGTGTTACTGTAACTGTTACTATGTAGACTGATGATCAGTCAGTTCTGCTCTAAACGTGGCTTTAATCGCCACGCACTCACAGACTATACAGTCTCGGCCTTGTTTTCTTACGTCTTTTCGGTCCTGCAGGCACTCGAGCACGGCCAGGTTGTTGTTCCAGGCGTGTTTGGGGCAGATCCGGCTCACGTCCTCCCGACAGGCCGCCTCCTCCGCGAGCTTCCAGCCGCCGCTGCGCCGCACCGAGGAGGCCCCGTCCGGCGCCGCCGCTTTCCCCTCTCCCGCTCCATTTTTACCTCTTTCGGCATTCTCTGCGGCGTTTTCAGTGTCCGATTTGCCTCCATGAGCAGAACCAATCCAGCCGCAGATGAACATCAACAGCAGCAGTCGCTGCACACGTCTACACGCCGCCATCTTCGCTGAGAGAAGTTACGAATCCTACTACGGTCCAGAAGACGCTCATGAATATTAATTAGCACGCGCTGACGTCGCTTTGCGGGTTGTCTTATTAATATTCATGAGCTGAATCCCCCATCGTAGTAGGATTCGTCAGTTCTCGGATGAAGTAGTGCGGGATTTGGGGTTCACGAACGGCACAGCGTTCGAGTCCAAACACGGGCAACGTAGACCGAGACCTAAAGATATTTTTTTTTTATTTTTTTTTTAACGTTTATTAGATGAACGGAAGATAAGGAAGGCGATTATCCTGGAACAGGGAGTTCAGAAATGGGCGGGGCTTAGAGGTCCAGACTTAGAGGTCAGGTACGATGGGTAGAAGTATTTTAATGTTTTAACTGTATATTCTCAATCAAACAACTGTTTATCGGTGCCTTTATTCAGGTAAAACTATGATCCAGAACGCTGCTGCAGTAACACATAATATGGTTTTGTCACCTGGTTCCTGTAACTTTTCTTAGCGATGATCAGAATGGACCAATCACAATCGTTTGTGATTACAGTCTAGTAATTTATTTCATTTATCGAGATTATTTTTGTGTTCGGTTTCAATTTTATGTCAGATCTTCTGGCTATATTGACAATATTTTCTGATTTATGTGCTAAAAAGATATAACCAAACATCCCCTTGTAAAAACCTTTAAAGAGATAGTTCACCCAAAAATGAAAATTCTGGCATTAATTACTCACCCTCATGTCGTTCAAAAAAAAACAAAAAAAACCGACTTTACTCAATTCGTTTATGTCGTTTAAGCTTTTATTTTAACGTAAACAGTGTATCCGCGTGGCACAGCTGACACAGAATATCATACGCTGTTTGCGTTCAGTGGATACTGTCCAAAATGGCGCTAGGGTGATGCGGAGGAAACGAATTGTTGAATAAATTAGTTTTTTTACATTTATTTTGCGCTCAAAAAGTATTCTCGTAGCTTCGTAATATTACGGTTGAACCCCTGATGTCCCATGGATTATTTTATCGATCTCCTTGCTGTGTTTCTGGACGTTGATCGTGGTAGGACCCTTGCTGTCTATGGGAGGGTCAGACAGCTCTCGGATTCAATCAAAAACATCTTAATTTGTGTTCCGAAGATGAACGAAGGTCTTACGGGTTTGAAACGACATGAGGGTGAGTAATTAATGCCATAATTTTCATTTTTGGGTGAACTATCCCTTTAACTATAATATGCCAACTTTTTGATTCATAACTATTTATTTATTTTTGGCTTTATCCAATGTCCAGATTTCTGAAAATTTGTGCATATTTGCATTAATTAGATAACTTGTTTACATATTTAAACATAACATTTCAGAAAACATGCGATACAAATCAATTATCTTAATATACTATGATTAATAAACTAGAGAAAGTATGGTGATATTTGTGATATCTGTTATTGGCATTATTCACTTGCGGTGGCCTGTTATTTAACTCTATTTTAATTACCAATAACATATTTAGCCATGGCCCAAATTTTGCACACAACCCTGTTACTGCTGGACCACTACGGTGGAACATTTCTTACATTTATGACACCCAAGAAATAACTTGATTTGGCTCACATCCATGTTAAGACAATATTCCTAATATCAACTTTATTCACTTAAAAGAGATCACTGCAAATTGTCTTTATATTTTTCCTATTGATTTCACTGTACCACTCCTATAAGGTGTTCGAAAACTGTGTCAATGTAGGCATTTATTGTTTTATTAAAGAAATTACAAACAAAACAAGAAAACACTTACATATATACAATGAAAACAGTGAACAATGATCACTTTTAACATAGACATTAATAAAGCCCTGATTTTAAGGTCAGAAAACAAAATCTCTTTATAAAAGAACACAACATAAAATATAGAATTTAAATTTAAAACAAACAAAATACATGCATAGTGAACGGACAATACTGTCACACGGCGTCCCAGACCACCAGAGGCCACGTATTTTGTTTATGAGAAATGCTTATTCAGATTTTTGTTTGAATGTTACTCTTAGTCTCACTCCCATTTATAGACCTTGAGCATCTTCTCGGTCAGAGAGGCCAGAAAACTGCTCTGGTTGACCTCAAACGGACAGATGTCCAACACGGGGAGATCCGCAGGCATCTTCTGAAGCAGAGCACCAGTGCCGGCATCCCAGACCTGCAGACCGAGCGGAGAAATCATAGTGAATATGTGCGCATAACTAACAGGACCAACATCAAACTGCTTACACAAGCATTTACTTCCATGTGCAACGCGTAACCAAATGAAACAAGATACTGAATGAGAAAAAAAGAGCGCAGGACTGGATGAAGAGCGGTTTCTCACCATGGTGGAGTTTGTGGCCTCGTCTCCAGCACACACTAGCGTGGCTCCCTCTCCGGCTGGACGCTTGAACACGGCGTTTTTGGTGAGTAGCTTGCAGGAGGATCCAGCGGTGAAGGTCTGGACTGGAGAGCAGGAGCAGATGGGTGGCTGTCTGCTGTCTGTCTGAGGCGTCCGGCTGAGCTCCATTAAAACACAACGCAGTGACGGGTTTGCACGACCTGGATGGCACAAAACAGACATGAATGTCACTGCTATTAAAAAAGAACAAAGATGCAACAAATCAAAAGTCCAAGACATACAATCAAATACAGATGAGCTTAAACTAAAATAGGAATGTGCATTATATTGAAACTGAACAATATTAGTGACTTTTTAAAATTAAAAAAATTTTTTTTTGTGACTTCCATGGTGGAGTTTGTGGCCTCGTCTCCAGCACACACTAGCGTGGCTCCCTCTCCGGCTGGACGCTTGAACACGGCGTTTTTGGTGAGTAGCTTGCAGGAGGATCCAGCGGTGAAGGTCTGGACTGGAGAGCAGGAGCAGATGGGTGGCTGTCTGCTGTCTGTCTGAGGCGTCCGGCTGAGCTCCATTAAAACACAACGCAGTGACGGGTTTGCACGACCTGGATGGCACAAAACAGACATGAATGTCACTGCTATTAAAAAAGAACAAAGATGCAACAAATCAAAAGTCCAAGACATACAATCAAATACAGATGAGCTTAAACTAAAATAGGAATGTGCATTATATTGAAACTGAACTGTTTTTAAAATTAAAAAAAATTTTTTTTGTGACTTTATGAGTATACCAGCATTGAGCCACTATTATGGTTTTATTTGTACGTATCTGTTTAAAGTCACAATGAAACTGAATTAGTGACATCTTTTCTTCTGAATTGTGACGAACATTCAAGTGGAATGAATTAGAAAAAAAGAAAAGAAAAAAAAGTTCACCAGAAGTTTGAGTTTGATTAAACATTACGAGGTCAAGTCAATAAATGAATGAATGAAACATGCATGGATGAATAGTTCACAGTAAGATCCATAACATGCATTTACAAAATAGATTGGTGAATTCTCTCTTCATGTTAACTTTAAATCTGATTAGACTAATATTGGAAGCTAATAATATCAGTATATGAATTAGACAACATTAGCCTTTTTCTAATAAAATTAGATTTTTTATGAATTTTTTTTTATTATAGGGTCAATGACAAAATAAGTGTCAAAAAAAGATTTTCCTGCATTTAAATCACTGTATGTATAAATTGCATTTTATGTGTTTTTAAATCAATCATATATAAAAAAAAAACAGTAGATCCACACTTAAAGCTAATAATGTGGAAGCTTATATGTAGGGGTGCTCCGATCAGGATTTTTGAGGCCGATCACCGATCACAGAAAGCAGTATCTGCAAAGCCTTCTTTTTATCATTTATAACTATTTATAGTGATACTCCAATCAGGATTTTTAGACATTTATTCAGGGCCTGAATTTCATTTTGAAAACTTTAGAAGTTATTTAATTGAGACATATGAAGGAGAGTACCTCACCTTCAGCATTATAATTATTTCACCCGTGCTGGACAGACTGAGACGTGCCACTGCATGTCGTGCCAAACCTCTGACGGCAGGCGCGTCATCAGCTTGAGATTGTTTTTTTGAGATCGGCCTTTTTAGAGACCGCCGATCAATCATCCCAAAGCGATTATCGGCCGATAGTGATCGGAAGCCGATCAATCGGAGCACCCATACTTATATGGTTATATTGGTATTGGTCAATATTAGTACGTGTATATATATATATATATATATATATATATATATATATATATATATATATATACACCCATATTAGTAT